TCAACACAGCTTCAGGCGTCTCCGCAGAAATTCTGAGGGAAGAGGTGCTTCCTAATCAGCTGATGAAAAATCAGCGGATTTTCATGAAAATACTAAGAGAAAACCCTAAATTTGAACATTTCGGGAGAGGTGCTAGGGGGAGAGCCCTTGCTTCATTGCTTGGGGAGAGCCCTGAGCTTGCACATATCAACCAAGCACTCCAGGTCACCCCTACTCTCCTCAATAATATAATATCCTCTAAATAAGTGCGTTGGCATCTTTAACATAATGATGACTAAATCGTAAATGAGGACGAAGCATGAAGGAGCTTTTTCAATAGGTAGTGGTCCAATGTGGCTTCAACACAGCTTGCTTATCATCAACCAAGCACTCCAGGTCACCCATACGTCTCCTCAATAATATAATATCTTCTGAATAAGTGCGTTGGGATCTTTAACATCAATACCTCAAGCTCTCTCATACATTGTACATGGGGCCATTGTAGCATTTGAATTAAGACTGTCACAATCAAGTACTGATCTTGTGTGAATATGACATGGATATCATATTTCTTTACTAACAACATGGATGAAGCAATTTTGAACCATGATTTCCAAATATTTGTAAAACTACGCTATAATATTACGCTGTTTTTTTCATACTGGTAACTCATACTATTATCATTTACATACAGACAAAATAAGGTATCTTATAATCAATGTAACATTTGCGAGCATTTGAATTAAGACTGTCACAATCAGGTACTGATCTAGTATGAATATGACATGGATATCATATTTCTTTACCAACAGGCAGAAGCAATTTTGAATCATGATTTCCAAATGTCTATAAAATTACTGTAAAATGTTTGCAGTGGTTCTAATTTTGAAGTTTTCAGAGTGACCTCTTGAATACAAAATCATACAATGTAACACTGTGGATATGTGTTTCCATTGTACTATTACTACTGTATTACAGAATTGTTTCAACCGCAAACTTACAACACAGCAAAAACCTCACACTGCAAAACTAAGTCCCCTGCAAAAATAAATGTTCACAGTACAGTGTTAAATGTAAATAACATCAAGTTTGGAAACAATGACCAAGTCTCTTGTATTTACCGGTAACCTCCTTGGTGTAAATCAGCATTATAACTGTATATGTCAGTACCAATAACTTCCATAAAATGAATGTGTGGTATATAAATTGATATAACATCTATAGCCATAGACCACTAATTCAATCTTCTGTATTAATATGCATCTACATAATATCATAAGGCTTCAATTATACTTCGTGTAAGCTAAATGGCTAACAGTAGGGACATACATCAATCATGCAAACGACATCATAATATATGCATTTCCTTTTTGTATGCCATGACAATGCCATTGTGAGTTTTTGCTTAAGGCTTTATAGTATTTACAAAACAAGCTTAATAAAAAAAATGGTACTTATTTATTTTGTCCTGAATTGTTGACTTTCAATCACAAAAATAATTTTGCAATAAGTATACAAAATCCATATACAAATTTTAGTGGTTTCAACAAAGTTGATATTTGGAATAACAGATTTATTTTAAACAAAGATTATATATTAATCTATAACCTTTATGGATAGAAAATTGCGAATGAATTTTTTAGCCCAAATCTACAGGGCAAAACCTAAATAATGGTATAATTTTTACACATACGTGCTAAACAAAAAAGCATTAACATCTGACACCTTCCCAAATGCATGCCAGACAACCAATAAGGTATTGTATTACATTCATTAGGTAGCCTTTGTTTTTATTCATGTTCGTCAACAAAGAAACTAACAAATGGCAACGAAAACATAACCTCTTCAGTCCTGTAACTCAATTTTTCACCATTTCCAGACAAAAATATGCAAGACACTCAGTAGCATATGACAAGTAATCATCTAAGTAACCCCTATGCATGCGTGAACTAAAGACATTTGGCAGGTTCCCATATACATGTGACACATCCAATATACAATCCAATTAACTTAATCAGGCGGCCTATGTTGATTCAATTTCCCTCGAACAACCAATGGCGGCTCAAATCCTCTTTTCAAACTCTCTCTGATTGGCGGGATCCCTTGTCAGCTACAGTTCCGGTTGACCGAGAAACCCAAACGATACACCAAAACGTCAGAGGTCGCCGTACGACATTATGTCGTACCCAACGCGAACAGAAAGGCGAACAATGCAGCGAGGGATACGTAACGACGAGGTTATTGATTGAAGAGGGGGGAGAACCAATGGTATCGGTAATTTAATCCGTCCTCGGGTGTTCTAACTTTCCCTGCTACACTAGAATTACCGAGAGCTAATCCAGGGCAAGGGTTACGCTGTATAGGCCTTATGACCCTCTCTATTGCCAAGCCTCTTATGTTACTCATTATGAGGTGAACAGTCAATTGAAGAGTACTAGGGACAAGTGGCAGTGTCTTGTGGCACGGGGACGGCCAATTTCACACTGCTAGCACAGGGCTGGAAGTTTATTTTTATGAATACAGCTGAATACACTGGTGTGTATTACCTAGTAAATGTGTAGTTCAAAAAAAAGGATTTGGGATGAAGTTGAACGTCTGTGAAACCTTATGATTTTAAAATTACAACGAATTCCATAGCTAACTTTAGAGTGTTAAACAGACATTTCAAATGTCATGAATATACAATTATACGATACATTTATGTGTGTAACCCTACAAAAATATCTAGGTACACCAGTGCATCCACAGTCAGAAATCTAGGTGCACCCAAAGTCAGAAATGTAAGGTGCACAGCTCCAATTTTGGGTGCACAAAGGTGTATATGCACAAAGTATTTCCAGCCCGGTACATGTATATGGAATGTACTTATGTAGCTTTTAATACTACCAAGGTGGTTCTAACACCTACACAAATACCTAGGTGCACCCACAATCAAAAATCATGTGCACAGCTCCAATTTGGTGCACACAAAAGGGCCCAGTATTTCCAGCCCTGTTGGTCCTATGTAATGTAGACAGGCACAACCCAGAATGTCTTATTGTATTTATCCACTGCCAGAACAGCGGACATGGGTCAACTGTGTTGTGGGCTTTGCACAAAGGACTAGATGTAAAATTACATGACTTGTACGTCAAAAACATAACCAGCATGTTACCATTTGACCGTGCTCCTCGCTTTTCTTCCACGCTAGGAAAAGAATGTATCAGATTCCCAAACAATATTCTTCCAACGCTTGCGAAAACCTGGTATGTTTTCGTGGAAAAATTTCCGCCTGTATAATCGCAACCTGAATCCAACTATAGTCTTGAAAACTGCCTCTGAAAGCCACAAATCCTATACTTCAAATTTCCTTTGTATAACTGCCAAACGCAGAAGAAAACAGAGACGTAAGGGGCTTCATGCTGTTTAACATGGTTTAGATTTGCACTGTTCTCAACAAAGAGGAGTTAATATGTGACAAGAGGGTCCCAACAACAACGGACTTTGGAGTTCATAAATAGGTCATTAAAAATGAAGTGCTGCAAACACGATTAACTTCAACCTGACAACCTTGGACGACAAAAACATGTGAGAGCGACATTCAATAGTTCTTAAATTGCACACTACAGTAAAGCATAAAACCTGGAAAAGTGTTGATTTGGGGGAGGGGGGCACAATGAAAAAATTATCTTTCTCACAGACAGGCGTAGGAAAAATATAATTCTGTGGTACTGTTAACATTGAAAGCTACATACGTACTACTTGAAAAGGGTTCCAAGCTATAATATTACGCTGTTTTTTCATACTGGTAACTCATACCATTATAATTATTACATACAGACAAAATACGGTATCTTATAACTTCAGTATTTCTAGAATTTGTATTCTACTACAAAAAGATATGACTGCGCATAGCGTCATACGCAAAAAATTCCAAATCACGCCAGGCGTATGTGAACGCTTGTTTCAATCGCGATAACGTGGCCTCGTGTTAAACTCAACGCAGCGCCCAACTCTTCGGCAAATTCTTTGATTTGATTATCATCACCTTTCTGTTAGCTGCAGTCAAACAACAGAGGTGTAATAACTAATCTCGTTACCGAGCAAAGCTGTACGATTGGCCCAGATTTAATTCTAATCACTGGAACACCAAACCCTTCACAGCTGAGATGTTATTTCAGATTCTACCAAGCATGGAGTAAACAAAAACAAGGCCATGATAATAAATAACAACACACAGGAACACCCTTATTTGATGTGTATGCTTCGCTGACAATGGTTTGTGTTTGCTTGAAGACTAAACTCCCCCAATCCAAAGTTTTACAACAGAGCAATGTCCCGGCTATAACCTGTATTTACAGTGTGTTTGTTAAGTGATAACCGACTGTGAACTTCTGTGACTTCTGATAAACACAGGCCGTAGTGTTGTCATGCCTCAGGTCCTGAGGCACATTCCAGGCTTTTTGAGTAAACACTGGACAGTTGGGACGAGTTAGGGCCGCGCTAGGAGGGAATCTGGGCTGGGTTTTATGTAGGGTTATGAGTAGAGGGTTGGTAGAAGTCGTTACGAGGTATCGGGGTTTTTCTGCGGGCATCGGGAGGGGCAACGGGCTGGTCGGCGGGCAGGCAAGGCGAGCCGCCCGCCCGTCCCTCAGGGATAGCCCGCGGGGGCAACACAAACGTCATACCTGATCGGAATCACACAACAAAATCGTTCATCTGGTCACACAAACGTAGCGTACGGCCATTTCTGCTGTCCAAACCAATCTTTGGCCCCTACAAACATACGTGGCTAAAGGACGATGACCAAACTGTGGTGTGACATTTGCGAATTAATCATTCAACCATACAGGCAGACGACATCAAAACTCAAACACACACACAGGCACCACATAACACAAGTTTCTGGGTTCAGTATCCTCACATATACGTTCCTAACACAATTTTATCGATCTCGGACGAATTTGGATGTTATTATCGCCCTGTGGGTTGTATATTTGATAGGAATGCCGGAGAGATTTTGCCCCGCATATCTGACATACCAGGTTGTCCTCGCCGCTGGGAGTGACAGTAGAGCTGGTGGCCACCGCCGCCGTCTCGCCTGCCGGCCCTTCCTCCGCTGCCTGGTCGCCGTTTACCAGCACCACGCCATCGTCTGTCTTTCTCTCGGCGTATCTAAGCGTCAGACAGTCCTGTTTCTCGGCGGGCACAGAGCCGAGGGAGTCCCATGCTTCGTGATTGAGCTGCACGCTCGCCATTTGTGGGGCAGAATGATTTGAGATCCGCACTTCCAGTCAGTCCGTCCCAGTCTTGGAGAGAGAAAAAAAAATGACGATCAATTCGCTCAATCAAACCTGTCAAACTGATCGATCGGTGCGAATCTTTCCAAGAAACTCCTCGCGCGTGTGGTGTGCAGGCCCAAACCGTCTTCCCAGGAGCAGCGTTTTTTTTTAAAGGACGTGCCGCATAGATAAGATGAGGAAATGTGTTTTTGCTTTTGTCTCTGTGGCTGGGCTGTTTGTGTGCCTTCACCTGCCTCATCCGGGCACTTCTGAGCTAGCAACGAGCGCCCCACAGCGAACTTTAGCGGTATCGCAAGGGTGCGGCAGAAAACTCTGCCTTAGGCAATGATACAACAACAAAGAACATCCTGTCAGTCTTGAAATTAGGATTAATTTGCTCCAACCGAAAGTCTGTCCTTGGCACAACCCTTTTCACGATGTGCAATGAACGGGGAAAAAAACAAAATACTTCATTTAACATTGTGACGTTTACTGAAAACATTTTTACCTACGTGAATTGTGATTTTGGATTAAAATTTGCATTGAATATTTTCCGCTATCGAAAAAAAATGCGACGGTAACATTATAGTTGCCACACACACAAATCAATATGGTTAATTTTGTATCATTGTTATTTAAAAGTCAGCCATATGTTATAATATAGCTGAATGTCGGTTTCCCACATAAATTAGTTGAATACTAGTATTGTTGTGATGTGTCCTATCAGATATGATATTATATTTTTGCCACAACGAATTCCATATAACATTTACGTTTATATAATTTGTTTGCCAAAATGCCTATAAAAAGCCTGATATGATTTGCCTGGTCACGTGACCGTGTAATCGCTGATTGGCGCTGCGCAATTTTTTCCGGTAAAAGGTGACCTTGGAAGTCGGTTACGTCATTACAGAAGGGCAACGTAGCCTGCAAAGCAGGCTTCTTGGTTGGGCCTTGTGGGGCGCTAGAGAGAGGCTAATAGACCAGGGGACTGTTTCGAAGGCAACGGACGGTTTTCATACAATGCCTTTGTGGTGAAACATGACAATGACAAGTTTATTCATTAAAATATTTTTGTAACATGAAATTTGTAACATGAATATTGTTAGATATTGGCATTGAATGCTAGTACTAGTAGTTTGCAAGCTCTCAGGGGCAATGATGTAGATTCTAGAATTGAAAGTATTTTCCTATGACAAAAGAAACGGTGCAGAACATTGAGAATCAATTTTGCGGTGGTAGCTGTACATAAGATAAGCGAATAGGCGGGTAAGCGAATAGACGGTTTACGACATCTAAACTGTATCCAAACCTATTTTAGTCTATTTCATCCTCTCTACAAATAGCGAAAGAGACTTGGCAGCTATAAGAGGCCCGGATACCAGGCTAGCAAAATTAGCCTCTACAATAGGCATTCTGGCGGGCTTTTGTCCTGATAGATTGTTTTATGATTATGTATATTTTTTCGATAATAGCCGTGTTATGATAGCCACCAACATTTCCGTCAAAACTGTAACTGTAACAGAAAAGAAAAGAAAGGGAAATTCTCGAAAAGCTGATTTCGAGGCTACAACAAACATTACACGTTTTATTGACGAGGATGTCACCAGAATCGCCGAGGAGGGATTTGGAGGTCATCCCTGCAGACGGGAGAGGACAAATGTGCGCTTAATTGATCGACGTGGACAAAAGATACAGTGTTAAGTGTTTGACTGGACGGGTGATAACTATCTCTCATTTGCCCCGTGGTTTGTCGTGATAGAACACGGTAGTTCCCGTACACTGTTGGGGAGGGTCTGCATGCGTTTTCCTGTAGCGAAATATATTTTAACTCATCAAGAATGAATAGATGAATGGAAGACATTTATTGTAGGCTTATGCTCTTAGATGCTAAGTACAGGTCATGGCGATGAAGTAGCCTTAGGTACAATTACAGTGATATATAAATACATATATAAGAGTCTGGTAGCAAAGACCTAACGTATACTACATTGTTCATCGTTAACCAACTTAGACTAGTTATGTTCATGTAGCAAAATTTCTCGGTCTGTGAAAAATGGAGGTTTCACGGAACTACTATATAAGTTCACAGTGAGTAAAAGAAAGTTGGCGAATTTCTTGTTGGCGGTAATGATAAATTCGCGGTACAGAAGTGACCGCAAAAACCGTGAATGTAAAAGAACCGTGAAAATAAAGAAAGAAAAAACGGAATTACAGCATTGCCACTCTTCATCAATTCATCGAAAAACGTTGCTAACCTTCTTAAATTTACCGTTAAGCTATGCCAGGTTCCCTCCATACAGACCCCCCTGTTCGCTACACCACTGGTCCCCATGAAATACAGACAGGGGAAATTAACGCCGTGTCCTTATCGTGTAGTAAGTACGTACAACAGGTGATGTACTGTTATTGTCATGTATCTACTGGCACATCTGACCGTTAACGGGCTTTGGATGGTACATGTCACATGCAGGAGAACGGTAGCCTCTACCAGGCGTCGGGAGGCGGTTGGAAAGAGAACTTGGCCAGAAAGACAGATAACATTAATAAAATTGAGTCCGTACAACAGGCTAGGTGATGTACTATCATTGTCATGTATCTCCTGTCGCATCTGACCGTTAACGGGATTTGGATGGTACAAGATACTGTTAGATGTCACATGCGGGAGAACGGTAGCCTCTACCAGGCTTCGGGAGGCGGCTGGAAAGAGTAGAAATTGGCCAGAAAGACAGATAACATTGAGTCCGTACAACAGGTGATGCACTATCATTGTCATGTATCCCTGTCACATCTGACCGTTAACAGGCTTTGGAAGGTACATGTTTCTGCGAGATGTCACATGCGGGAGTAAGGTCTAGCCTCTACCAGGCTTCGGGAGGAGGCTGGAAAGAGTAGAAATTGGCCAGAAAGACAGATAACATTGAGTACGTAGAACAGGTGATGTACTATCATTGTCATGTATCTACTGCCACATCTGACCGTTAACGGGATTTGGATGGTACATGTTACTGTGAGATGTCACATGCGGGAGAATGGTAGCCTCTACCAGGCTTCGGGAGGCGGTTGGAAAGAGTAGAAATTAGCCAGATAAAAATGAGTCCATACAACAGGCGATCCACAATCATTGCCATGTATCTTCTGGCACATCTGACCGTTAACTGGCTTTGGAAGGTACATGTTACTGTGAGATGTCATATGCGGGAGAACGGTAGCCTCTACCACCGGGCTTCGGAAGGTGGCTGTAAAGAGTAGAAATTGGCCAGAAAGACAGATAACATATTGATTGCGTAAAACAGGTGATGTACTATCATTGTCATGTATCTCCTACCACATCTGACCGTTAACGGGATTTGGATGGTACATGTTACTGTGAGATGTCACATGCGGGAGAATGGTAGTCTTCACCAGTCTCCTTTGCAGGCTGAATAGATATAGGACCATATAGAGATCGTCCTAAAAAGGGGGATATCGTTGGCCAGAGAACTTGGCCGGCCAGAGAGTGTCCGGTGGAGAATGGACCCCTTACTGGATACGTAGACCGGAGAGAGAGAGAGAGAGAGACAGACAGACAGACAGACAGACAAACAGACTGACAGACAGAGAGAGAGAGAGAGACAGGGGGAGAGAGACAGAGACACACACACACACACACACACACACACACAGAGAGAGAGAGAGAGAGAGAGAGAGAGACAACAGACAAACACACCCCAAACAATATCAGCTCCCGGAGATGGCGATATGAGAGTTTGATACGCACAACGTCGCCTTAGTAGTTGTGTATAACCTCTTTGATATAACACAGCCGAGGATATAGTCGTCTCCCTACCCGTAGGGTTTAATTTTACATGAAAGGATGCGTGTGTACGTACGTAGGCATTTCGACGAATGTGCTGGAAGAAGCTTTTTCTTATATAAACACAATGTTGCTTAGGGATCATGTGGTCTTGGCCGCAATGTGTTTATTCTATCTATTGATCACATCTTGTGGACATCCCAAAACTGATGCAAGCGTGCGAAGAAAAAGATGGACAAAGAGAAAAAAAGTTGCCTGCCTTTTGAAACCTAGGCTTGATCGATCACGAAGGTTGTAAAAGTGACAGAACACGTACAAAATTGCATAACAAAATCAAAGCTCTATAGTCTTCTATGTGATATAACTTTTCTAGTTTCAGAAACTGGTGTGGCAAACTAACTTTACCTGAAGTTCGTGTGACAGGGCATAATTTTCTTCTTTTTTTTGCGAAGCGAAAATTGATGGGCGCTAGGATGTCATTCATAAAATCAGGTCAATGTGACCTTACACTAGCCTCGGTGCCATCCAATATTCTACGTACGGGGCTCCTTATACTAGTACTAGGCCCGAAAAATTTATTAAGAGAGCGAGTATCAGACGCTTGCGCCGGTCTACAAAAAGGATGGCACCCAGGCTAGCCTTACATAAGGAGAGTACTAACTCCATGATTAAACTGAGGAGATCTAGATGTGCGCCTAAAGATAGATGCGAGGTTATCTTGTCAAATCGGCCTCCCCCGTTTTCTTATAACCTTTTTGGACCGCCCCGCGTGTAGGTACCATGTTTAGTTACAAGAGCAGTTTTCTACGTATAGTCAGTAAGGCTTAGAGGGAAGAGGACTTGAACTAGCTGCGGGCGCGGTTTACCGTTTGGAAAGGACGGAGGGATGGGCAAGGCTTTATCTTGTCTAGTCTGCCGTGGCGGGAAAGGACGGTCAAACAACAGGGGACGAAAACAATCTCGAAGGATGATCGCCCAGCTGGCACGAAAGACAAATTTCAACGAAAAAGAGGTCCGTCAGTGGCAGAGTTTGTTTCTCAAAGACTGTCCGGACGGCCTGCTGTCTGAAGACAAGTTCGTGACGTTCTACTGCGCTTTCTTCGAGTCTGTGGACGACCAGGAGAAGGTTTCCCTGGCGAGGCAAATCTTCCGCACGTTTGACCAGGACGGGAACGGACAGGTGGATTTTCCGGAGTTCTTGCGGGGCATGAGCGCGCTGCTCCGCGGGACCACTGCGCAGAGGCTGCGGTGGGCCTTCAGTATGTACGACATCGACAACAACGGCGTCCTCAGCCGGCCAGAACTCCTAAACGTCCTGAAGGTAAACTTCGTCCCCCCATTCATGATAGATAAAGCTTTGTCTGGCTATTCTTCATATTAAAGACACGAGACGTTTTTATCTTAAAGTTGGCTTATAGATAAGCTCGGTGAGAGACGAGGTGGCTACAGAGGGGATTTGTACAAGCGCATGATAGCTGTAATGTCATTTGTCACTACCCCCCTCTAAGAGACAATTTCTCATGCCGAAATGGTCCGTTGACAAGATGTGACAAGTTGCAAAATAGTTGTGAAATAGACTTTATATGAATTTGTATTTTTAGAAGCTGTAAGAATATTTGTTCCCAGTATATATCTCCACAAAGGTCCATTTGAAAAACCACCCTTCTCAGTGAAGTGACGTACGCGTAATGACGAAGTTAAAAGGCTAGGGGTGTAATCTTATGTTTAGCTGAAAAAAGGTAGAAAGACAAACCGGAAAAAAAGTTTAACGGGCACGTTTGCTTTGTGTACTTAATTTTAGCATATCAGTGAAATACCATAATATATATGCTTACTCGCTAACATAGATCATGTTTCAATAGACGTAATTCCAGGTATAGCTCCGGATCCGCGCAAAAAAAACACGTTTGATTTGCAACTCGTTTTGATTTTAATATGTGGTACCTTTTGCATATTTTTCTACTTCTGTACTTTTAAATATTTATCTATATATTTTGAAACAAAATGTACCTGCTTTGTTTACATTTCGACCTCAAGGGAAGCACTGTAGTAAATAAACACCTATAGAATGATCGGGATGACACCTTTTGTATCAATATCACTTTAAGAGTAATTCCGTGAGTTATCGTTATGTTATAATTTATGAGATGCCTTTAACTTTACATGTGCAGTATTTTATAAACTAATATATAAGATATATTAACTAATATATAAGATATATTGTATGAACTAAGAAGCCATTTTTCACCTGATGTAGATGCCTTTTAATGTAGTAAGAAGAATCAACCCTATCCCAGAGCAGTCTGATATCCGTGAGGAGAAAAAAGTGATGTCACTGACAGAAAACGGTTGCTTGTTTTGTATCGTAAGTTGGTTCTAGCTATTTATGGGTGGTACCCAAAAAATAAAGAGACGCATCGAGTAGCTTGTCTTTTTTTTGGGGGGGGGGGGCTATTTCAAACGCTTCAAGTATAAAATGATAGCAAAATGTGCTAAGAAATGACAGTAAATGTCAATTTCTAGCAAATTTCCTAATACAGCTTTTTTACACAATTTTTTTTTCGTTTTACCGCCATGAACTTTATATCGGATGCCTTAAGAGATGTTTTCCATGTAGCGGTCCGCACTGGAACTATGAGTTGGCAATCACATCGCCAACAACAGATGATATATATACGCTAACTAAACGTTGGTTTAAGTGCGGGAAGTTATGACGTAAACACATGGGAAAATCTTGGAATCATCTGCAGAAACCCCGATGTTTAAATCCCCCGATTAGATACGCCGCACAGATTCCCAAACGAGAAATAGGAGCGTTCCAATCAGCTCTGACAGGTAAATGTTGGTTAATAGCTGTTATAAATGTGCTCCCATCTTATCTATCGCGGCAAGTTTTCGTTTGGGGGGAGGGGGGTAAATCGGCAGATGTTACGGACAAGACTCACGTGCTACCATTATCTCCAAGCAGATGTCCTGGTGGAAATATTCCCATGGATGCTTAAGCTTGTTACGTATAGACGGGACAGTTAGGAAACTTATAATATAGGGGTTTTCACTCATTTTTCTAGGCGGCGGCCATATTGGTGTCCCCGATTTGCATGTTCCTACCTCGTCTGTACAACTCCTCAAATATATAACATCGTCCAATCTGTTCTCAAGTGAATCGGTGCAATATAGCACGGCATAGGCTGCTTGGGAGTCAAACAGACAACCTTTAGTTATCAGATCTTATCAACCAAGGCCACCATGCCACCTGCAGTTTATTACTTCAGTAAAATTTAAGTTCACAAAAACAAGGTTTGCCCACTTTGACAGTGTAAAACCTGCACTATACCGATTAACCTAAAAGAAAGATCAGTTTTGATCCTACAGAAATGCGTAACCTTTGGTAGATAATTTACGGACCAAATAGAACGAAACTAGAACAGCAGTTTCAAGTTGATCAATACGACATTTAGATTACGGATAAGAAAAACAAGTCTTGGACTTAAAATCTAGAGGCAGACAAAATAGGGTCGTAAAAAGATGCGCAGCAACATGAAAGCCCGAAGCCGAAAACCTCAGAACAGCCTGTTACGAATTTGCTGGCGATGTACCAAAGTAACTCTCGGATATACAGATCGTGAAGATGCTATCTGGGTGGTCTGACTGTCGGGACTAGCGTTGATGGAAGACATTAGGCGCTTTTCAGAGGAGAAATAACCTCAGAACACAATGTGGTGAGACTGCACATCGACCTATCCGAACACCCCTACCCATCCTATCACAACCATTACGCCACGAGCTTCAGATACTACAGCAGATTAAAGTGCTTATGACACCAAAATACAACATTTTCTTATCATCTGCAACAATAACAGTGTTATCAAATGAACATAAATCTTTGCACCACATATACGTCCTTTTGATGGTACTGAAGTGACGCTATCCCTCGATAAGCATATGAATATCTGCTACACAAGGATGCTCTGAATATGTCTGAAAATCTCCTGGGAGCAAAAAAGTCCCCAACGAGCAGCGGGATTTGCCTGCAGTCACAGAGAAAATCAAAACGCGCAGAATGAAACTAGCTGCATTCTGCATCAGACTTCCTGACATTGTAGCTTCCAAGTTTTTTCCTCTGGGAACATGCAAAAGGTCAAAAGCACGTAAAGATTTAAGTTCTTAGATACAGGTTGTTGAGGATACAGACCATTGAGCGCCCAAAATTGGATTTATAATCAATGGCTTCTGGTATGCAAATTGAATACGGTATAGTATGATTTGAAAGACAACAACACCAAAAACTTACAAATCAACATACGATTTTTTGTTTGCTCAGTGGTTGCCATCTCCGGGAAAGGGGTTATAGGAGCTATTTTAATACTCTTAGATGCATTCTATACAGCAGAATAGTACGACAATGGTCATTCATACTGACTAGGCTAAACAAGTCTTTTTTTAACATCCCGACCATGATAATCTGCTAAATCTTTATATATAAACCCATATGCACCACATATTCCCCCTTGCAGCTGATGTACGAACTGCAGCACCCGAGGAGGAGACACAGGAGCCTCGTCATTCATACTGACGAAGGCTAAATAAACCATTTATTATTATTCCCCCTTGCAGTTGATGTACGAACTGCAGCACCCCAGGAGGAGACACAGTGAGCCTGGCGGTTCGGACTCCAGCGGGCCGGGCTCCATCTCTCACCTGGAGAAACTGGTGGAAATGGGAAATTCATACTGACAAAGGCTTAATATCTTTTTAAACTTTCCTACAATAATAATCTGCTAAATCTTCCCCCTTGCAGTTGATGTACGAACTGCAGCACCCCAGGAGGAGACACAGTGAGCCTGGCGGTTCGGACTCCAGCGGGCCGGGATCCATCTCTCACCTGGAGAAACTGGTGGAAATGGGTCATTCGTACTGACAAAGGCTGAATTTTTTAAAACTCTTCTACCATAAAAATAATCTGCCAAATCTTCCCCCTTGCAGTTGATGTACGAACTGCAGCACCCCAGGAGGAGACACAGTGAACCCGGCGGTTCGGACTCCAGCGGGCCGGGCTCCATCTCTCACCTGGAGAAGCTGGTGGAAATGGGTCATTCGTACTGACAAAGGCTGAATATTTTTCTTTAAACTTTCCTACCATAATAATCTGCTAAACCTCCCCCTTGCAGTTGATGTACGAACTGCAGCACCCCAGGAGGAGACACAGCGAGCTCGAGCCTGGCGGTTCGGACTCCAGCGGGCCGGGTTCCATCTCTCACCTGGAGAAGCTGGTAGACAGGCTGCTGTCTGTCCTGGACGACAACAACGACGGCCACGTGCAGATGAAGGAGTTCGTGGAGGGAGTCAGGAGGAATCCGCAGCTGCTCACCTTCGATGATCCAGACTGAGAATGAACTCTAATAGTACCTTTCCCAAGAGTACAACACATGGGTGGGATTCAAACCCACATCAAACCTATGACCACAAGCTTAAGACCTATTACCAACTTCCACCTGTAGTTTATTTAAATATTTAATCGAAAATTTCGCCCTAACTGGGCCAGTCAAACCCCAAGGCGGCCAAACTCCCCTGGCAAATATTCTCCTATGTCATACCCTATGTATAGCCAGCGTGCAAATGTACAAAGAACTTTGTTAATTACCACGATCATTTGAAGTTTTTTTTTTTTGTGCCGCAAAAGGCGATATATTACCAGTATTTTGACAGGACTATTTAGTAATTCAATAGTCTACGTAAACTTATGCGCGGGTTCTCTCATCGGATCTTGGCTGGCTAACTCCTCTAGTAGATTACTAGTATTCATCGAATTTTAAATAAATCTGGCCAATTATTTGACGTAGACTTTCGAAATGACCTGCGTAGCCCTCTCGACGAAAGGAGATGATGAAAGCCAATACGGCTCAGTTTACTCTGGATCTGTTAATCACTTGTGTGTGACGAGTTTAACAGCAGCCTGAGCAGGTAATTCGAGTGTAAATATTTGTTAATCGAACGTATTGGGTGTGATTCGAGATGTTATCAGCATGTTCTTTGATAAACAACAAAAAGTACTAATAGCCTGAAAAGTTTGCAAATAATACGTACAGAGATGACAGATGATAGCATTGTTTTCTACTTCCAGACCTTGTAGAAGATAAATGCATGTAGTAGAGGCGCGCTTTCGACGCACATTTGTTCAGTGGGTCGCAGGGGTATCAATTTTCAGCGAGGCTTCATGACAGAATCGGCCGTTACAAATCTTTGCGTGACTTTTTGCGAAGCAGTCGGATTCTGTATAAGCCCACGACTGTCCAATTACAAATCGTGCGACATGAACCCGGTCGCATATGTCGTGCGAACGTCGTACGATCGTGTCAAAACTAAAGGAATTTTTCTAGATATAGTCGTACATTTATCGCGCAAGTTTCGGCCGTCTTTTTACGGATAAGACTGTCTATTATAGAATTAACGTTAGATCCTTTAATCTCCAAGCAGATCCATACGCCACCCAAGGCGTCTCTAGCGAATGGATATAGCCTGTCCTTTTTTATGCTATCTTTTGTCACCCTAGGATCTGCCGCAGTGAAGATTCCTTTAATAGCTTGTCGGCGGTTGGTCAGAACTGTCAAAGTCTGCTTGAAAATTCTACAGCATCAAACTCGTGCGACGGCCTACGACGAAATCGTGGCGTAAGCGAACCATAAAGTCAGTGTCACACAGCAGGAAAGTAGTTCAGTTTAGTGATCGTAAAGCATGCGTAAAGATTCTATTCCGTCACTTATTCAATTCGCAAAAGGAAGAGCCTTTTTACGGATGCTTAAAGAATTTGTGAAGTGGATGTTCGCAGGTCACCGAGCCCCGTAGATTTTCAGGTAAAAAGTACGACGCGTGGGACCAAACATGTTTTTGATAATCCTATTGGAATGTACAAACTTGTCAAAAGGGCATGGAGTCTCCTTTACTAATATATATATCATGTAAAGGTGAATAATATGTCTTGTAAAGGTGGTAAAATGTAACGTTTTGTGAAATCGCGTTCCTTAATTTAGATATGTATAGAAGATGCTTGTAACTTGATTATATAAAAATGTTGCACTTCTTTGTTGAGAATCGTAGCAGCCTTGGACTGTCAATCATCATTTTAAGTTATTCCAGAGTTTGAATCCATATACTAGTATACGGTTGTGTCCAGTTGAGGTTTTAGCTTTCTTGACTGACACATGTACAATCATATACATGTTGTCACTGTTTGTAATACTAGTAATAAACAAGCCAAGACCTAGTGTGCTTGAATATACATCAGTGTCAACTCATCTTTCCTTTCCTCATATCTGTCAGCACAAAACCAAAGGGGAACAACCTTTCCAGACGTACTAACAAGGCCCCTTCTGTTCTCTGAGTGACACTTGTCTTGTAGAGGATAAACCTTCTATGCTGGTTTTGCAACTCAATCTGGGGGGTGACCGCTGACCCACACACCAACATAAACAGAACAGGCAGTGCACGATGAAAGAACTGTACAAAAACACAAAGATTTTCTATTTCTTAAGATTAAAAATGGCTAACGTTTGTATATAACTGTCTTGAACATAACAATCGCAGCAAATTTGTATCTTGCATTTTGATAGTTTTTTAGTTTTAAAATCTTTGGTAAATTTTATGGTATTTAGGCCACACCGACTTAATTTTATGGATGACATCCTCTGAAGACCCCCAAACTAGTGCGTGCGGGCGAAAAAAAGAAAAATCCGGCCAAAAATAAAAATGCTACTAAACCACAGGAATACAAAGCTGGTATTGTGAATTTGGCGCATTGCATAGCGCTCGACGTATACGACAGGCCGACACATACTGGATTTTTCTGGAATTTATGAATCGACAATGTACGTATGTACTGAGTTCTTGAGTCTTGGAGCTTCGGTAGCCTGAGTGCCGTCCACCAGAGTTATCACCACCATGGACTACCCAGGCTTGAGGCCAGTCCAGAGCCTCGGAAGACGTGATTTTTTTTTTTTGAGATCGGGCGAAAATCAATGCGCGCGCGGATGTCATCCATAAAATTAAATCGATGTGGCCTTAGTTGTGATATCTTACCCCCACGGTTTGTTTGCATTCCGGTTTTTGCATGGGTCACTGTTTGTAAACCACTGTTTGTAAGCAAGGATTGGAAAATGAACACCATTGTTTTAAGAGAGCCACACCTCAAGCGTGTCAAAGAACACACCGGATCTTACAGATAATGGTAGTGGTCCTCAATAGATTTGTCAAATCCATATACACGCATTCTGAATTCAAAGGGCTAATCCTTAGAAAAGTGGTGATCCAATGGAAATGATTTTGTGGTGGAGAGGTCACCGAAAAAACAAAACACACACTACGCACTTTTCAAGATTAACAATACCTGCATTCTGTCAATCCATAAAGTTTCACAACAGGTACACGTACATAAAAATTCATTGCAGTGAAACTTTCTGCATTGATTTATGTTAAGTTGATAATGCTCAGTGGAGGATGGTATTTCCAACTATGTCCGTCATGTGTTGGAAGAGAGTATAGGAAATAAATATACAGATTCAGTGAGAACAATAAATAAAACAAGACATTCTCGGCAACTCTAACTACTTCATAGAGATGTAAAATCATTAATTCTTTATTCTGAATTGTGTCATGGCTAAGCTGTACCCTGCTAGTGCAAGATTTTACAACAAGTTCTTCACTATTATGACTTGTGTACTTGTTTTGCTTGTTTAGTATTAGTAAAAGTTTGTGTCCCGGCATTTATCTCTAAAATTCGTCACTGATTTGACACAAAAATTTGTACACCAAATTCTTCACTATTACGACTTGTGTTGTTGTTTACTATCCTGCTCCACAATAAGCAGAACTTCCTCTCTATGCAGATGTTGCTGTACTGTGTGGATCATTTCGTCCAGTTTGTCTCCACCAGTCAGAAAGTCCTGTAGGTTAAACATGTTAACCCCTGCCGCCCTGTGGTCAGTCACTCTGTCCTGGGTGAAATTGTATGTCCGGATTTTTTCTGACCGTCCTGCCGTCCCCATCTGCTGTTGTCGCGCCAGCTGCTGCTGTGATCGCTGCTGGTCCAGTTTGATCTGGTACAGTCTGGCCTGGAGGGTCTGCATGGCGATGGCACGGTTACGGATCTGGGAACGCTCCTGTTGGCACTCAACAGCGATTCCTGAAAAAAAAAGAGTTTAGGATACGTCAATGAAGCTTAGACATCCAGGTACTTGAGCAACTTTTACTTCGAGGCTAGAATTAGTTTGTGATACAAACTAACGTTTCAAAAATAAAAGACAGAAACCACTGCAAAATAAAAAATAAAAGGACCATGAGAAATCTTCACACTTACAGTACATTACATGTATTTACATTTTTGTAACTACTGTAACTGTTCTGATGTAGAATACAGCAAGTCACAATATGATCTAGCATCTAATGTATGCATGCATAATGTGATCCAGCACCTACAGTAAATGTAATGATCTAGATCTAAATCTGGTACAGAGAACAGGTGTGATAGCTTACTCATCCACTGTTACTAACCTGTAGGGATGTGTACGATCCTCACAGCACTTTCTGTCTTGTTGACGTGTTGTCCACCTGCACCGCTGGCTTTCTTAGTCTCAATTCTAAATTCACTTTTAGCCCAGGTGTTGTCAATCTGGAAAACAATGTTGTATATGACAGGTTATACATCAAAAGTCAGATCCCAGGACAGCTATGCTTTATGAAACAATAATATCAGGTATCAGGTATGTGAATTATTTAGTGTACCACCATGAATAGCCATGTTTTGGGCATGCAATTCCCAATATAACTTCCCTTATTTGTTATGTTACACATGAGTCATAGCATGGTTACCAAACCAATTATAGCTCCCGAGTCCTATATTCTCTCTGCAAATAGGGTTTAAATTACACAGAGGATCTAGAACTCTGGAGCTACAATATTTTTGGAAACCAGGCTACACAGGTTAGGCTGTACACAAACGCCACCAAGTGAACTTCCCCTAAATTGCAGCTGGGGGAAAGAAAGACTGACTCCACATCAAGTAAGATTTGGATAAAATGAACTAGAAAATTGACCAATGTCTACTTGGCAGTAGTGAAAAAATGTTTGTTGACAAGAGGTACAGTGGATGTAGAAAATTTGGAGTTATGTGATTCTTACCTTCTCAAATTGTCACTCTTTGAGGAATATTCTAAAGTTGACTACCTGTAGTACAGTATTAGCCTGGTTACCAAACTTATTATAGCTCCTACATCCTCTCCACTATTTGCGGAGAAGATGTAGGACTCGGGAGCTATAATAGGTTTGGTAACCAGGCTAGTACAGTATTTATGTGACACGTGTACTACAACCACATCCATCAAAACTTCTGTGTGATACCATCAGAACTACAGTGTGATACCATCCTGACCTCCTTAGGCTGAGGTAAGACTGCGACAGTCATGGTGCTGGTGTGGACCCTGCCTGACTTCTCTGTCCTGGGCACCCTCTGTACACGGTGTACCCCTGCCTCCAGCTTCAGCAGTTTGTAGGCATTGTGACCCTTAATGCTGGCAGTGGCATGTCTCAGACCACCTAAAGAAAAGAACAGATCTTGTTAAACGAGACTTACAGGAATTATTTTGGGCACCCTCTGCACACGATGTACCCCTGCCTACAGTTTCAGCGGTTTGTAGGCATTGTGACCCTTGATACTGGCAGTGGCATGTCTCAGACCACCTGAGGAGGAGAACAGATCTTGTCAAACAAAAAAATCTAAGATTCTTATGTTTTCATGAATAATCAATGAAACAACCGAGGAGAATGAACTTGTAGAGCATATCTTAACTGGAGCTAGGACAGAAACTTTGCAGGGTTGGAGGGTCACTCATGCAATCCTCTGCTACCTAGGTTCCTACCAGGTTCTGGGACCTTCCATTTTCAGTGTGTCTGACTTTTTCACCTCCTGTCATTCTGCCTGTCAATCTCTCCCCATCCATGTGCTGTCAACCTACTCTCTCCAGAGACAAGCCCTGTTCATTGTGTACAATATAGATGAACTGATCACAGTGCACTTCAAGATTATGCCATAATTTTGTGATCTGTAAACTGATCTATTGCCGATGACTCCAGTGAATTTGTCTCACCTAGTGTAGAGGGGTCGGATGTGAGAACCTGCATGTGCCAGTTCTTGTACGCCGCGTACTGACAGTACATCTCAAACACGTCCGACGTAAACAACATGGCCTCCTGACCTCCGACCCCTGCCACCACCTCCAGGATGATGTCGTTTTCATCGGCTTCGTCCGCGGGAACCAGCAACGTCAGGATCTGAGGAATGTGTGAATGCAAAAATAAACACCATATATTAATTGATAAATGTCTTACTCAACATGTTGGATAGCTAGCTAGCACTTTGGCAGAACTTCCTGTACCTGCACTGGGCATGTATTATGTATTGTCTAAAGCACTTCAGAGGAACATTTGCGTGACATCCTGTATATAGTTTTCAAATGTTATGTGTTGGAAAACATGTCGCAACAGGCAAAATTCTGATGCTATGTTGACCAAACATCAAACAAAACCAAGAAAAATTCAGATTTCGCTAAAGCACAGTACATTCTGACAACATGCTTGTATAGCCAAATTTCATACTGAATATACTGTAGATCTTGAAATTTTGTGGCGGTTTTATTTTAAGAAGTATGCATTGTACTAGTATAATACTAACTTGTAATGTAACGTTATAACACGTTGTTTCAACCACAAACTGAAATACAGCAAAAATCTTACGTCACCGCAAATATAAATGAATCTATTGTAATCCAGTGATCTTACCTCATCCTCCAACTGTTCCATGTCATTTTCATACTCCTCCTTCTCCTGCAAAGCCAGTTCTCTCATTTCTTTCTCTCCATCCTCCAAACCTTCTAACAGTTTCCCAACATCTTCCAACTCTCCCAGTGTCTTCTCCACTTGTTGTACCTTCTCCACGACTGGTCTGAGTTCCTCCCATCTATGTGCCAGTCTCCTGTGTTCCGTTTCGGACTCCTGTCCTGTCTGAAGTTTTTCTAGCACATTTTGTCCCTCTGTGACAAGTCTCTTCAAGTATCTCCACGTTCCCTCGTCTTGTAAACTAAACGTCCTTTCTCTTGCAGCAGTTGAAAAGGTTTGGAAGGTTGTGGTAAGCTGTTTGGTGGGTTGAGGGGGAAACAGAGTTACCGTACTGAGAGGACAGATAGGCCGGTGGCTTGGACACTGTTTCCACCGCCCTCCTCCCACAAATAAACATCGTACAAACCCGGCTGAACACGCAGGTTTGTGCACGACCGAACCAACGTACCGAAGACAACGGAATATCATAGGGAAAGTGCGAAATAAAGGCTTTATGAACTACGGCGTACGAACAAGGACAGAACGTCCAACCCTGACTGAAACGTGCTTGCACTTTGACCTTATGTGACCTTTCAACTTGTCTCAGGATCCATGACGTTTTTTAGTAAATTTGTGTCTGTTTGTCAAGTATTTCCAAGTCGAATGTATATAATACCACGGTTTATTGGAACTCGGTAACATTTACTGACTGTTGGGTATTTATTTTCTGACAGCACACTTTGCCAGAGAAGCCTGGAGGTGAAAAAAACGTCACCTTCTTCCACCCAACATCTGTTTGGAGGTCGAGAAGTTTCTATCCTATCCCATCATGCCTCTCGGTGAGATTGCACAAGAAGAGGAACTGTTGCAGTAGTTTTTAGTTTCGCCGGAGCTCCACGTATTCAAACGGGCGCTGGCTCGCCCAGAGGACCAAATATCCATCTGAACGGTAAGTATAAGAATCTGTAGGTCTCAAAGAACCTATTTTAACTCCTCTGGGCTTTCAACGTGAGTTTTTACGGACCCCGAAAGACTGAGGGCTGAACCCGGAAGTAAAGTAACTTAATTTTTTCACGATACACTGAGTCATAGTTTATGGTCTAGTAGATAATTTTTGGCGGGCTTTTGGCCCTGTTCAGGTTGGATATCATTTATGTGCGAGCGTACTTTAGCCTTTTGCTTGTTTATAGGGTGGTATTTCCTTTAGCATTGGGATTGTTTTATTTTGTGAAGTTCAACTCTAAGTCTAGAATGTAAATTTGTGGACCATATTAAATTATGACATGTTTGTGTATAATTTCGCGCCAAAAAGGTAGGATAGTACTTTCAAACAGCGAGAGCTACTTCCCATTACCCCATTGTAGAGGTGTAATTCCGATGTTGGCTGTAATAGGTCTTGACACAAGTTGTAATGATTGTACAGCTACAGAGATTGGCTGGACTTTAATAATAATTCATGGGAAATGATATTTTGATTTCCCTTTTCCGTCCAGTCAATCTCTGTATAATGTCTTTGTTCCAACAGTTTTATTACTAGACATGCTTGTGGGAAGAGGCACAGCATGGTTGCCAGAGATGCTACTCTTCTAACGTCATAAGAACAAGAACATAATTTCTTTGCAGGGGAGGTAAGTACAGTAGTAGGATGGTAATTATATGACTTTGTTATGATTATTAATATGGTATATAACACCATCAAACATCAATGTTGTTTTATTTAAATTCATGTGGAAGCAAACATCATATTATAACTTAAAGATACGAAGTATAACTTTACAATTACATTCTATTCATTTTCTACTAAAATCATGGTCTACATGTAACATTAGGTACATGTGTAATGTATATCTTGTATGCAGTGTTGTATGTCTATGTCTTGTACACATGCGTGTATGTAAATTACTAACACACTAAATTTACTTGTACTTGCCCTAACTGTCCTTTGCATACACAAAATCATTTACTTGTGTTCCTAGTTCCTTGTATACCTTTTTTTTTCAATAATATATTTTCCGGATCACCTGTTACTGATTTACATGCATAGCCTGCAATGGGCCAACCATATATGTAAATGTTAAACAACTCAGACTAATCCGTCATAGTGGTAAGCTGTAAAATGACTAGTATGCAAACTGCCAGGATGGTTGCCAGTATTCCTGTGTGGTTGTTTCCTGGTACTCCAGAACTAACATCACATGGACTGGGCATTTCTGCATTATTCATCAAAGCCTCTGCAAAAATGGGTACATGTAAATGTAAATATATATTACTACCAGTAGCAGTAGTACATACATGTACAATGTACCTTACAATTCATGCATAGAAAAGTGACCCAGAACAATAAAGTGACATTTTCACATTACTAGTACATGCATGTATATAATTTATAAGAAAGTCCACATGTAGCACTATCATTTCATTAGGTTGTTAGCTTCACTACATATACCCAACAATGGTCAGTTTTTTGGTCACCCTACCTGTCTTGTTCCTGAGTGGTTTCACGTAGTTGTCCCAGAAAGCACAGTTCACTGTGCTCGGGCCGGTCAACATCCTGGCATCGAGCGTGTCCAGCACCATGTAGCCTCCAGCAGTCTCGTTAAAGGCACTCCAAATTCCATCTGTGTTGTCGTTTGGATTTCTGGGTAAATGTAATAATATCAAACGTTTTATCAAAAAGGCATGACCGTAAGCAAAACAGCACCAAATATAAGAAAGTGAGTAAGGAATGTGTATTCACCCCTGTACAATATACATCACGTTTGCATAAAAGAAAAGTTGGTAAATTGCATAGTGAAAATCAAACTGTTCTCCAACTCGGTGTCTACAGGACAGCGAGATACTTGTAGCTGACGAAGACGGCCGAGAGATTCGGTCAAAAATTACGAGTCAAATCCTTTGAGATGGAGAACAGTAATTTTCACTGTATGCTAATTGGGAATGTGAGGATTCATAAACTTATTATATAAGGAGTTTGAAGGATCTGTTGAAAAGTTTCTCAGAAAACATTTAGAATCATTTTTAACACTCTAATGTCATACAGTTGTAACAAGATATGATTAAAACTAGAAAGAAATAGAAAAACATAGTACCCTGTTTTGGCAAAGTTTGCCCAGTGCCGCATCATCCTTCGAGTTAGCGCCTTTTCCTCCTCGTTGAAGCCTTTGGCAGGATCCAGGGGCAGACCAAACACGAACCGTAACTCCTCGCCATGGACCGAGCCCAACCAAAGGGGGTAGGGAGAGATCGAGGAGCGGTGGGTAAAACTGTACATGTAGACAGATGCTCCATTCCTGACGTGGGCACGAGCAGTGTTGACGTCCGGGCAAAGGAAGAGAAAATCGCCGTAGAGAGAGCTGAGTGCGTCTCGGTACATCGTTTCCTTGCCCAGCTGTTCCCAGTCAGTGTATTGAAAGGCTGCAGCGTCAACAGCAAACTCATTCAACATCGGAAGGTTTTGCACCATCCCATCACGTAACTGGTCCTTGGTGATGATACCTTCCGTGTCGGATGACTGCTCGTAAACGAGGTAGGTGCCTTCGTTTTCGTTGGAACCGAGGAGGATGTCTGCTTTCTTGAATGCACCAGTTTCCAAGGCAACAGACGGGCTTTCCGGAAGGAAGCTACCATCTAGGACAGGGAAGAACGCCAATTTCGAGACTGAGGAATTCACGAGGAGTTGTCCGTCCTGGTTTCGAAGACACGCCAGCATTTCCCCTTGCTTCGTGGGGCACCCGAAAGCTTTGGCCAGGCTCACAGCTTTGTCGTACGCATCCGCCCTAGAGTCTTGTCCCCATTCCATCAGGGCGGTCCCACTCTGTAGAATCGCGCGGGTGAAAAGATTCCAGCTGCCATGAGACAGCAGATGGTACCCAACGCTGATTCCGCCAGCGCTTTGCCCAAAAAGCGTAACTTTCGAAGGATCCCCCCCGAAAGACGCGATGTTGTCCTGTATCCACTGTAGCGCCAGGACCTGGTCCGTAAGGCCAACGTTCCCGGGCGCTTGGTCAGTGCCGTCATACAGGAACCCGAGGGCGCTGAGTCGGTAGTTTATCCCCACCACTATAACCCCTTCAGTTGCCACTAGGTATCTCCCATCGTGGATGGGAAATGAAGACGAGCCCCTGGGGTTGACATTTGTGGAATTTTAAAATTATAGTAAATATTTATGATATGAATTGATAGACAAATGGCAATTCTATTCCTTATGATTGGTAAGTTCAATGCAAACAGGGAAAAAGTGCATCATTATATTTCTTTATTTATTTATTTCATCATAAGACGGCTGGGTAGCCCCATTCAGTTTACATTAGCTGTTTTCCAAGGGGGCCCAGCAAAATTACATGTACACAAGACATAACATACAGTAAGACAAGAGTCATAGTCCTATACTTAAAGTCCTATAGCCGTGCAAAGGTCAAGAACACGAAAATCAAAAATGGAGGTCAGAGGTCAGATTTCATATGACATATGTTTCAAGCCTGCATTAAACTGAGATAGAGTAGGTACATGTCTTATTTAATTACATACCTGGAAAATCCTCCTCCATATATCCAGACCATGACGGCAGCTGCTGTAGGGACGGGGTTTGGTTGCCAAATGTTGAGGTACAAACAGTCCTCGCTGACTGGTGTGTTCATGCCCCACAGATTAGGGTCATTTTCATACACTTCTTGACTGCATGCGTTAGGTTTACTGTGGGATTCAAGAACAGTAGGTACAAAGGAATTCAGCTATCGACATGTCATTGAAAAATATGTGATTCAGATGGCGCATGCATGAAGGCAATTTTTTTATTTGTTCTATGAGTCTGACATTGTGCATGACACATATGGAATATTGGGATATCTGTGCAGACTGTTGTACAAAATTCAACTGTGTTTACGGAAAAGCTTAGGTCCTTGTCAACATTGTAGTTTTGTCAGAACTTTCTACCACATCAAAATCATACCACAAATGTAGAAAACCTAGAGGTATACTTTGTTGCCTGGTATGTCCCTTCCCATTGTTCCTTGGGCTCCGCATGTTTGAATCGTTGTTCCCCGATGGGCGGTTTAGCGAAGGGGATCCCCAGGAAGGCGTTAACCGCGGTTCCCAGCACGTCCAGCTCTAGTCCGGCAACTCTCCCTGCCGGGGCCGTCACATTTGGGGCTGCCGTTACCGCTTGTACGTTAAACAGTGACGGTACAATGCAGAATGCTGCTACAATTTGAAGCGCCATGCCTGGTGATGGCATTGTCCTGTAAACAGCAAGTTGATCTGGAGTACTATAATCTACAAGATTAAGATACTAATTGTGAATGATACTGTTGCAATAACTAGTGATCAACGACAATGAGCGCGTCAGTCTCTAACAAACATGTTTGGTGTCCTTATATTTTCACTCCTCTAAAATGTCGAGCAATTCAAAGCAAAAGGCATACATGTAGTTTGAAAAACATTCACACTATTATATAGATGTTTGTAGCAACATTATGTCTAAATCTTGAAGTATTACAGTACGCTTGGATGTCATGACTAGTTCCTTACCTGATGATATAGTTATGTGAACTTTGTCCACCTCTTTTATTCACCAAATCAGTACACTTACTGAGTCATTGTTTAAAGCACAAAGTTGTTTATTTGTCAAACCTGTTAATATGTTACCCCTTTTTTAATTACATAAACTTAAATGCCCCAGGTAACTCTTGACAACCGTAGGGGTCAGTAAGTGCAAAGAGCGCCGTTATGAAGCGGATGGCATCCAGGCTAGAGTTACAATTCTTGTATGAAAAAATGAAGTTTTGTCACATCTTAAAAAAAAAAAAACACTACAGGCACACGCTTCTGAGATGAATGTATAATTGTAACAGCAGCTGCACATATAGTCACTTATCCTCAACTGCAAAGACCAAATTAAAGAGAAAAAAGACAGTATTAAAGCTGTTTCTAAGTTCTTTTCATAATACTAGTACATCTCTACTCACTGTGACAAAGATGATCATATTATTCATACTAAAATTCATCATGCTCTAGACTATAAGTATACTCTACATTATGTATATGGCTGTAGTTGGTATCATAATATTACAAATGATTCATAGTGGTAAGCTGTAAGATGACCAGAGCGCATGGTGCCAGGATCGTTGCCAGTATTCCTGTGTGGTGGTTTCCTGGTGCCCCAGAGGTAACCTCACACGGACTGGACATTCCTGCATTATTCATCAAAGCCTCTGCAAAAAAATGGGTACACGTGAATGCACATTATTAACCTTAATAACTTACAACATGCAAAGAAAAGTAAAGCAGAACAATTTTAAGTGATACTTCACAAGTAAGAAAGTCGTACTACAGTAAATTTAAATACCAGTGTACAGAAAAAAATATGTTCAGTAAATTGCATGAATATAGGTTTCTGACATCACCTTTATCATGCACAAGTATTATAATAGGTTTTGATGTAATAATGTGGGAAAAACCAAGATAGCCAATGATGGCCACCCTACCTGTCTTGTTCCTGAGTGGTTTCACGTAGTTGTCCCAGAAAGCACAGTTCACCGTGCTCGGGCCGGTCAACATCCTGGCATCGAGGGTGTCCAGCACCATGTAGCCTCCAGCACTCTCGTTAAAGGCACTCCAAACTCCGCCTGTGTTGTTGTTTGGAGTTCTGGATAAACATAATAAAATCAAGTCGCAGTTTTACTACAAAGTCATAAGTATAAGCTTACCGAATATAAGTTTGTGATATTAAAGGATGTGACACTGTATTCACAAGCTGTATACATGTATACATGTACACCATGTTTGCATAAAAGAGAAGGTGTCAGAAGTACAATTGTACTGGTGGGAATGTGAGAATTCATAAAGAAATTTGAAGGAACTGTTGGAAGCTGTTTCTTATGGTAAGAAAAACTTTAGAATTGTTAATAATATACAATCATTACAATGTATATAAAGCCCTTAATACTATGTCATACGAGATTGGAGTAATGGATAATCATATGAAAGAATTTTGAAATACCCTGTTTTGGCAAAGTTTGCCCAGTGCCGCATCATCCTTCGAGTTAGCGCCTTTTCCTCCTCGTTGAAACCGAAGGTCGGATCCAGGGGCAGGCCGAAAACAAACGGTATCTCCTCCCCGTGGATAGCGCCCATCCAAGGAGCGAAGGGAGAGATCGAGGCACGGTGGGCGAAACGGTACATGTAGGCCGACGCACCGTTCCTGACGTGGGCACGTGCAATGTTGACGTCCGGGCAGATGAAGTAAAAATCGCTGTAGAGAGAATTCAGTGCGTCGCGATACATCGTTTCCTTGCCCAGCTGTTCCCAGTCGGTGTATTGAAAGGCTGCAGCGTCAGCAGCAAAGTCATTCAGCACAGGAACGTTGTACACGATCCCTTCCCGAAACTGTTCCTTGGTGATGAGGCTTTCCGTGTCTTCGCTGAAGCCGGGCGATTGGCCGTAAACGAAGCCGTAGGTGCCTTCGTCTTCGTTGGAACCGAGGAGGATGTCTGCTTTCTTGAATGTACCAGTTTCCAAGGCACTGGGCGGGCTTTCCGGAATGAAGCTACCATCTAGGATAGGTGCAGTGTATCCCAGTTGCGAGACTGAGGAATTCACAAGCAGTTGCGCGTCCTTGTTTCGAAGACACGCCAGCATTTCGCCTTGCTCTGTGGGGCATCCGAGACCTTTGGCCAGGCTCACAGCTTTGTCGTACGCGTCTGCCTTGGTATCCAGTCCCCATTCCATCAGGGCTGTCCCACTCTGTAGAATCGCACGGCTGAAAAGATTCCAACTCCCAGGGTAGATGAGATGATACCCAATACTGATTCCACCAGCACTTTCCCCAAAAAGCGTGACTTTCGAAGGATCCCCTCCGAAAGATGCGATGTTGTCCTGTATCCACTGTAGCGCCAGGACCTGGTCCGTAAGGCCGACGTTCCCGGGCGCTTGGTCGGTGCCGTCATACAGGAATCCGAGTGCGCTGAGTCGGTAGTTTATCCCCATCACTATTACCCCCTCAGTCGCCGCTAGGTATCTCCCATCGTAGCTAACAAGTGAAGCCGAGCCCCTGGGGTTGTAGAATTTTAGAATAATTATAAATATTTAGGAATCGATAGACAAATGGTAATTCTACTCATTGTGTTTGGTATTAGTAGTAGTTCATTGCAAACAGGGCAACAAGTGCCTCATCGTTACCGTTATGCTAATAACCGACCACTTTTGTCATTATTTTTGGACTCTGCCATTATCCAGGGGACACGACACTAACAGTGTTAAGACTTGTAGTGTTCGTATTTTTGACACCCCGGCAGGCTGTAACCCAAATTTGTGTCAAATAACAGTGTCAGTTGGACAGGCTATATGATTATAATAACGTGGGCTAGGCTCACTTGATGGTTTATTTAGTGGTTATCGCACCTGACCAGGGATTACCTCACAATATACACTGAGGATAAAGCAGGGTATTAACTCCTTAGTCTACCCATCTTCTTTCCTTTGTACACAATGTGTATAATACTATATATATATAAATTATAATACATACGCGTAAAATCCTCCTCCATATATCCAGACCATGACAGCAGCTGCTGTAGGGACGGGGTTTGGTTGCCAAATGTTGAGGTACAAACAGTCCTCGCTGACTGGTGTGTTCATTGCCCACAGAAAATATTCTTCTTCGTAGACTTCTTGACTGCACGCGTTAGGGTTACTGCAGGATTTAAGAACAGTTGGTACTTGGTTCAGCTATTGACATGAAAAATATGTAATTCAAAAGGTAATAAGTTTTTAAATCAATTATATGATATAATTGTGTATATTACATGTACTACCAGGTAGTATCAATTTTTTAAATTTATCTGAGTATTTATTCATTACGTAATAGTTATTTAGCAAAAATAAATTTTTTAGGAAAAAATGTATACAATATATTCTCATACATATGTAACCTGTAAGTAGTGTAAGCATTAAATTTTTTCCCTAATAGATATATACAATCATGTGCCTTTAAAAAAGTTTTATTCTAAAAATTTCAAACTGTTGTTACTCTACACTCAGCTCAGAGTGCACAACCTACAATTAGAAATTTATTTGAAAATTCTACCACATCAAAATCATACCACAAATGTGACCTACAACCCGCTGATACTAAAAATAGCCATATATTGTACCTTGTTGCCTGGTATGTCCCGTCCCATGGTTCTTTGGGCTCCGCACGTTTGAATCGTTGCTCCCCTGTGGGCGGTTTAGCGAAGGGGATCCCCAGGAAGGCGTTAACCGCGGTTCCCAGAACGTCCAGCTCGAGTCCGGCCACTCTTCCCGTCGGGGCCGTCACATTGGGGGCTGCCGTTACCGCTTGTACGTTAAACAGTGCCGGTACAATGCAGATCACTGCTAGGATTTGAAGTGCCATGCCTGGTGATGGTATTGTTCTGTAAACAGCAAAGTTAACCTGGCGTATTATATCAACAATATTAATTCTGAATGATACAGTTACAGTAAGTAGTGATCAATGACAAACAAAACTGTCATTATCAAGCTTTGTCAATGAGATACCAGTGTTGGTCTCCAACAAACATGCTTACCGTCCTTACATAGTTACTCCTGATGTCTATCAATTCAAAAGGTTAGGTCACAAAAACAAAACAGATAGATTGAAAAACATTGAATCATAAAATATTAGATGACTTTCTGCAATTATGTCGAAATGTTAAAACTTTACAGTACAGTCGGATGTCATAACTAAGTTCCTTACCTGACCATAGTTACAGTATGTGAACTTTGACCGCCTCTTTTATTCACCAAATCAGTACACCAGCCTGGTCAGTGTTTACAAAGTGGGAGCGGTAGTCAACATTATATCTACAGTTAAGATACTGATTCTGAATGATACAGTTGCAATAACTTAAGTGATCAATGACAATAAGCGCGTTGGTCTCTGACAAACATGTTTACCGTCCTTATGTTTTCACTCCTTTAAAATGTCTATCAATATTTAAAGCAAAATGCATACATGTATATTGTGAAACATTCACACTATATAGATGTTTGCAACAACATTATGTCTAAAATTTTTAAGTATTACAGTAGGGTTGGATGTCATGACTAGTTCCTTACCTGACCATATAGTTACTAAGTATGTGAACTTTGACCAAATCAGTACACTAGTCATTGTTTAAATTACAAAGTGGGTGCAGTTATCAAACCAGTTAATATGTTACCCTTTTTTGAGTTACATAAACTTAAATGGCCCAGGTAACCCTTGTCAACCGTAGGGGTCAGCAAGTGCAAAGAGCCCTGTTACAAAACGGATGGCATCCAGGCTAGTGTTACAATTCTTGTATGAAAAAAAAAGTCCTGTTATAACTATGTAAATTCTATATCTGATAATTCTGATTTTACATGTAATGCCCCATTTCCATCTGACATGTATGTATGTATGTTGTTGTCTCTGTCCCCAAGGTTAGCCCTTTAAAATAGTCCTAGCACTAGTTGGGCAACCTTGGCTGTCACCTGTACAGCTGAACCAATAAATAAATTTTAAAAAAAATCACATCTTAAAAAAAACCTACAGGAACACGCTCCTGAGGTGCATTCCCATACAGGCATGTTTTTTGCACAGTAGATAGCACATTATGAAAACCTCCTTTCCCTTTCCATTGCAAAATAAACTCCCAGTATAAACAGACTTTACTGAGTGTTATGTACTCTGTAAGGTTGTGGATTGCCTTCGTGCAGTTCAAGTGAATAGGTTTTGGGGCATAGATGAATTGGTGTATTATTTAAAGTTTGGACTACCTATTAACTAAGTACATACTAGTATAATTGTTATAAGACTTTATTATACCAAGTCTGTAAGACTATCAAACATCAGTGTTGTTTTATTTGAACAGACACAAATCAAATTTATTCAGTAAGGATCTCTCGGGCACATACAGTCACACACACACACACAAATTTTGCATACATGTACATACATAAGATTTACAAGTACAGATCACATTAAAACAATGATTTGTTACACTCCTCATAACATGGTTTAACTCAGTATAAAACATTAAATTTTAGAAAACTAGTACACAATTAAAATCTATACATAGTATGCAATTACCAAGTAGAGACGAACTGCACAATGAAGAAAAGAATTACTAAGTCTCTTAGTCCAGGCTTTAGGTACACTGATTTGAATGACTGAATTGTTTATTATAATCATGTTTCCCATCTATAATCATAATGTAGGTATAACTGTTATACAGTAGGAGTACTAGAAGTCATGTATCTTCAACTGCAAAGACCAAAGAGAAAAAAGAAGACCTATTAAAGCTATTTCTCTTCATATCTCTACTGACTTTGGCAAAGATCATCAATTATACTAATTTAAAATGATCATGGTCTACATTACGTATATGGCTATAGTTGGGATCATATACTAATGATTCATAGTGGTAAGCTGTAAGATGACCAGAACGCATGGTGCCAGGATCGTTGCAAGTATTCCTGTGTGGTTGTTTCCTGGTGCCCCAGAGGTAACCTCACAAGGACTGGACATTCCTGCATTATTCATCAAAGCCTCTGCAAAAATGGGTACACATGAATGTATAACGTTTAACTTATTAACCTTAATAACTTACAACATACGCAAAGATGAGCGAAGCAGAACAATATCAAATGACATTTCACAAGTAAGAAAGTCCACATATGTATAGAAGTATATCATTAGCTTCTTCACTACTTTGATGTGCTACAGTAGAAATACCTTAAGTGCATACAAAAAAAAATAATTATGTTCAGTAAATTCATCTACAGACTGGAGGTTTTTATTTTGCACCTAGGAGGGAAACTTTTGTGCGGTTGGAACAGTTTGATTCTAGTTACTACATTATGGTAGCTGTTTTTACAAATTAGAAATATGATCTTCATGGTGTCATAAATTCATGATGAAGAGGTCACTAAGAAATGAATACCGGTGTAGGTTTTGATGTCACCTTTATCATAATTAATACCTAAAGTTTTCATGTAAGGTGGGAAAAACCAAGATAGCCAACGACGTTCACCCTACCTGTCTTGTTCCTGAGTGGTTTGACGTAGTTGTCCCAGAAAGCACAGTTCACCGTGCTTGGGCCGGTCAACATCCTGGCATCGAGCGTGTCCAGCACCATGTAGCCTCCAGCAGTCTCGTTAAAGGCACTCCAAACTCCGTCTGTGTTGTTGTTTGGAGTTCTGGATAAACATAATAAAATCAAGTCGCAGTTTTACTACAAAGTCATGACTATCTGAGCTTACCGAATATAAGTTTGTGATATTAAAGGATTACTGTATTCACAAGCTGTATACATGTACACCAAGTCTGCATAAAAGAGAGGGTGTCAGAAGTACATGTACTAGTGGGAATTTGAGAATTCATAAAGAAATTTGAAGGAACTGTTGGAAGCTATTTCTTATGGTAAGAAAAGCTTAATAATATACAATGTATATAAAAACCTTAATGATGTGTCATACAAATTGTAATGAGATTGGAGTAATGGATATTAAAAGAAATTTGAAATACCCTGTTTTGGCAAAGTTTGCCCAGTGCCGCATCATCCTTCGAGTTAGCGCCTTTTCCTCCTCGTTGAAACCGTAGGTCGGATCCAGGGGCAGACCGAACACAAACGGTATCTCCTCGCCGTGGATAGCGCCCATCCAAGGAGCGAAGGGAGAGATCGAGGCACGGTGGGCGAAACGGTACATGTAGGCTGATGCTCCATTCCTGACGTGGGCACGAGCGATGTTGACGTCCGGGCAGATGAAGTAAAAGTCGCTGTAGAGAGAATTCAGCGCATCTCGGTACATCGTTTCCTTGCCCAGCTGTTCCCAGTCAGTGTATTGAAAGGCTGCAGCGTCAGCGGCAAAGTCATTCAGCACAGGAACGTTGTACACGATCCCTTCCCGAAACTGGTCCTTGGTGATGAGGCTTTCCGTGTCTTCGCTGAAGCCGGGGGATTGGCCGTAAACGAAGCCGTAGGTGCCTTCGTTTTCGTTGGAACCGAGGAGGATGTCTGCTTTCTTGAAGGCGCCAGTTTGCAAGGCACTGGGCGGGCTTTCCGGAATGAAGGTACCATCTATGATAGGGTAGAACGCCGTGTATCCCAGTTGTGAGACTGAGGAATTCACGAGCAGTTGTCCGTCCTTGTTTCGAAGACACGCCAACATTTCGCCTTGCTTCGTGGGGCACTCGACAGCTTTGGCCAGGCTCACAGCTTTGTCGTATGCGTCCGCCCTGGAATCCAGTCCCCATTCCATCAGAGCTGTCCCACTCTGTAGGATTGCACGGCTGAAAAGATTCCAGCTTCCAGAAGAGATGAGATGGTACCCTATGCTGATTCCACCAGCGCTTTCCCCAAAAAGCGTAACTTTCGAAGGATCCCCTCCGAAAGACGCGATGTTGTCCTGTATCCACTGCAGCGCCAGGACCTGGTCTGTGAGGCCAACGTTCCCGGGCGCTTGGTCGGTGCCGTCATACAGGAATCCGAGGGCGCTGAGTCGGTAGTTTATCCCCACCACGATCACCCCTTCAGTCGCCGCTAGGTATCTCCCATCGTAGCTAACAAGTGAAGCCGAGCCCCTGTAGAATTTGAAAATAATAATGTAAACAGGGCAAAAAGTGCATCATTGTTATTCTAATAACCGACCACTTTTTTCATTATTTTTGGACTCTGCCATTATCCAGGGGACATGACACTAACAGTGTTAAGACTTGTAGTGTTTGTATTAAACAACGTGTTGCAGTTTATGTTGAATAATTTATTTGAAAACACAACACAATTAAAAAGATATAAATGGAACTTAGAGAGGGTACTTTGCAGGACCACTACTGTCATCAGATTGATATAAACAGAAAAAACTAAGCATAATTTTTGCCATCCCTGCAGGCTGTAACCCAAATTTGTGTCAAATAACTGTGTCAGTTCGATAGACTATATAAGGTGGGCTATGCTCACTCGGTGGTTTATTCAGTGGTTATTTCACCTGACCAGGGATTACCACACCATATACACTGAGGATAAAGTGGGGCATTAGCCCTTTAGTCTTCCCATCATCTTTCCTATCTTACAATGTGCAATGTATTAACACAGTTTTACACCTCGGGGGGGGGGTCATTAAACCCATCTTCTTTCCTTAATGTTATATATATCAGTAATATATAATACATACGCGGAAAATCCTCCTCCATATATCCAGACCATGACGGCAGCTGCTGTAGGGACGGGGTTTGGTTGCCAAATGTTGAGGTACAAACAGTCCTCGCTGACTGGTGTGTTCATTGCCCACAGAAAATATTCTTCTTCATAGACTTCTTGACTGCATGCGTTAGGTTTACTGCGGGATTTAAGAACAGTTGGTACTTGGTTCAGCTATGTACATAAAAATATGTAATTCAGAAGGCAGTTTTTAAATCTTATATGATATTGTGTATATTACATCTACTACCAGGTAGTATCAATTTTTAAATTTATCTGAGTATTTATTCATTACGTAATAGTTATTCAGCAAAAATAAATTTTCTAGGAAAAATGGATACAATATATTCTCATACATATGTAACTTGTAAGCATTAAAATTTTTCCCTAATAGATAAAAATTTCAAACTGTTGTTACTCTACACTCAGCTCAGAGTGCACGACCTACAATTAGCAATTTATTTGAAAATTTTACCACATCAAAATCGTACCACAAATGTGACCTAAAACCTGCTGATACTAAAAAGAGCCATATATTGTACCTTGTTGCCTGGTATGTTCCGTCCCATGGTTCTTTGGGCTCCGCACGTTTGAATCGTTGCTCCCCGATGGGCGGTTTAGCGAAGGGGATCCCCAGGAAGGCGTTAACCGCGGTTCCCAGCACGTCCAGCTCTAGTCCGGCAACTCTCCCTGCAGGGGCCGTCACATTGGGGGCTGCTAATGCCGCTTGTACGTTAAACAGCGCAGGTACAACGCAGATCGCTGCTAGAATTTGAAGCGCCATGCCTGGTGATGGTATTATCCTGTAAACAGCAAAGTTAACCTGGGATATTATATCAATGATATAAATTCTGAATGATACAGTTGCAATAAGTAGTGGTCAATGACAAACAAAATTGTTATTTTCAAGCTTTGTCAACAACATACGATCATCGGTCTCCAATGTACATGTTAACTGTCCTTACTTAGTCACTCCTTAGTGTGGATCAATTCAAAAGGTCAGGTCATTTAAACAACACGTAGATTGAAAAACATTCATAATATAGATGTCTGCAAGAAGATTATGTCTAAATGTTAAACTTTACAGTACAGTCGGATGTCATGACTAAGTTCCTTACCTGACCGTAGTTACGGTATGTGAACTTTGAACGCCTCTTTTATTCACCAAATCAGTACACTAGCCTGGTCAATGTTTATAAAGTAGGAGCGGTTGTCAAACTGATTAATTGCTACCCCTTTTTGACTTGCATAAACTTAATAGACATAGGCCCAGGTAACCCAGCCAACCGTATCAAAGGCATCAAAGGCAAAGAGCCCTGTTACAAAACGGATGGCATCCAGGCTAGAGTTACAATTCTTGTATGAAAAAATAACTACTAGTCTAAGATAAGAGTGACGCTTTGTCACATCTTAAAAAAAAAACCTACAGTAAAACAATTCTGAAGTGCATTCCCATACAGACATTTATCTTCTGGTACAGTATATATTGCACATTATGAAAACTCCTTTCCCTTCTACTGCAAAATAAAATCCAGAGGAAGAGAAGAAAGCTTTTCTATTATGTAACCTGTTGTGGATTGCTGACTCATAATGTATATATACAGAGTGTCATTCTGTCAATATTCTATTTCTAGGTTTCCCCGCCATTTTGCAGTATGGTATGGATAAGTCACCTTGTTGACTGGTCTTACAGCAGCGTGGACAATCAGAATGACCAATGGTGACTGTGTGGTCAACCCTGGACCATAGGAAGACAAGATGAGCTGGACAGACAGATTCAACAACCCTGGGTACAAGAACTGGCTACGGGTGGGGATAGCCTTGCAGGTCACCCGAGATGGTCTGGTTCATGTTGCTTTGCAGGCAGCAAATAAACTGCATGCAGAGCTGAAAGCCAAGCTTGGAGACGGTGTAGAAAACTGCAGTTGTAACACAAAGAAAGGACAGGAATGTGAGGCAAGTGACATGCAATAATTTCTATTAATCATGTAAGTTGGATATACCTTGTTCTCTTTTAAATTAGTAACACATAGTTTGACTAGTTCTCTGTTCAATGTCTTAAGCTCATTCAGTCATCATATTTTCTGTCGTATTTAGATCAGTTTCTCTAAATTACAGCTTCCATTTAGTTAAGGGGCCAAGATGAGCTGGGGTCTGAAATTTTCCTTTAAATACTGGGTATCCCCCATTGTTCTGCTGAAGGAATTACTAGAAAATTCGCTGTTATATCTGTTTCGGTATAACCGCCCTTCGGCATAACACACCAGCTAACCAGACATTGTTGTTTCAGGATTGTGCGCCATGGCGAGAGGAGTTGAAAAGAAATTACTACATAGGCGAAGCAAGTCGGATTGGCTGGTCCAACTGTACTCCCAGCAAGTGGAGCAAGGAACCATGGGAAGTGGCAAAAGTCAGTAGCCAGACCATATCTTCTGTATTTCTATAAGTCCCTCAAAAATAAATTGATTTATTGTGAGTAACTATGTGAAATTCAGATGTAAATTTGATTCTTCCAACCCTCCAGGTGTTCATGCCCAAGGATCCGACAGCAGACAATACTGGTCCTGAGAAGTCAGATCCTGCAGCACTGTTGAACTTCCTTATACACTGCACATACTGCAAGAAATATGTCAGTGTTAAGCCCTCACAAAAGGTAGGTAATACCATACCTGGTCCTAAATATTTTTCTGTAAGTGCTGTGCAACGAGTCTCATAGTCATAGCACATTATTTTATTTATTGAAAATTCGTATTAATAATATCATAATCGTCACCTGAATTCATGTCTGACCAGAAGTACTTTCTTTCATATGTTTATCAAAGGTTATTGAAGTCCGCAATAAGGCTATGCATTCCAAGGACCTGACATTTGACCGTCAGACTTTCAACGAGTACATGGACAAAATGGACAGACTGCTGAGGCTGGTCAAAGATCCACTGACACTGGCCGCAGACATCACAGCAAAGAAGGCAGCAGATGAGATTTTAAAGGTAGGACGAAAACTTTCTCTTAAACCATGTATGAGACACAAAGCATGCTAGGCTGTACTAGGCTGTTTCAATGTACTGCATCAATGAATGGAAAACCAGTAGAAATTAGGAAGATAACCAGTAGAAATTAGGAAGATAAGGACTAAATCTTCTTCAACTGTTGATACCAAAAATACTAGTAATAGTATTCAACATTTTGGGGTTGATTCACTATATTTTTGTTAAATTTAATAAAAGCAAGTGAAGTCAATAACCAAGAAATTAAATTGGTGTGGCCTTAATTACAATAAAAGTCATATACTGATGTGATCAACCCTGTTTTGTTTTTTCTACTAGATCAAGAAAGGAGAATTTCACATAGGTCCCAACAAAGATTGCCTGGATGCCGAGATTCGTGTGCTCAGAGAGTTCATGGGGGAGCAGGAGCAGTTGCTTCAGCTTCATGAGGAACAGTTGGAGGATCATGGGACTCGACTCGACACCCTTGAGAAAAGCATACCACCTGTGGAAGAGGTATACGACATGAGAAAGGGAGAGACTGTGCAATACGACAATGTTAAACTGATTGTCTTGACTTTTTGTGATGTATTGTGTATTGTAACAATTACTTCTGTATCTACATTTTGTAAATCAGATGAAAACGGTTCAACAGTACAAAACAGATTGGCTAACGGCATGCAAAACTGTCTTTTATAGGGTCTATAAACTGCATAGGCAGAGATCTATTGTAACATGACTGTACAAACTTCAAGATGTACAAGAATTTTTGAAATCTTTTAGAGAGAAATCATAAATTTTGTATATCATACAGTATATAGTCACTGTAGTACTTTTAATTTAAAAGTTACAATGAATTAAATGCTTACTGCAATGAACTATAACTTATTCAATACATGCATGTATCTTCCTGAATTAAATGCAGGTTCTACAAACACTACTAGAGGGCCCCATATTGGACATTGTAAACAACAACCCTGACCTGCAACACTTGAAAGACCAGGCAATGGCACTGTCCACCATCGCACAACAGCTCCAGGACAGACTAGATCAGCTGGAAGAGACGGTGGCTGAACATGGGGAACAAATCAGTGATGTACAAGAGAGGCTAGATCAGCTTGAAGTACCATCTAGGAGCACCACATTCTCACGGGGTAGGTTGTTGTTGTTGTTGTTATCCAGGTTTAGATTATTCTGCTGCCGGTTTCCCTGTCCCAGGGGTGGGCAGCAGTCGGCTGTTCTGGACACCACGCCTCCAGGGCACAGCACAGTAATAGGGCTTTCCTATGTTAATATATGGGAATTATGTCAAAACAACGTGGTCAACATTCATATACCTGAGTTTTAGACCTTGAAGAACATACATTGGCAGGGTAGGCCAACCTCTCAAGTCTCCATTCCCAAAAAATGAAAAAATCCTACGCACCTAAACCATGCGAGAATTCTACCCAAACATTGAGAAGTGACCCCTGACCTCTCTGGACAGCTGATGACCGCATGTAAACCTATATCTTCTTCAGCCAGCCAGACAACACAAACATGGCTGCAAGTCTGTTTTTTCACCAAAATTAAAATACTACAACCCTTACCTATAACATCCAAGTCCAAAACAACAACATTTCCCTTGAAAAAGACTTCTTTACACTCTACATTACATTGCCATCTCTATATACTAAAACTGGGCCCTCTGCGCCTGCGCTATTACTAACCTTTGCCCTGTCAGGGCGGCCAAGTTCAAGGTCGACAGGTTTCAATCATTTCACATAAACCGGGGAGGGGTTGTTAACAACCATCCCAAGTGTCGAAGATGTCAGACCAGGAATGGTCCCCTGGGAATAAAATCTAGAAACAGGTGTCTGGGGCCCTTTTCCAGGTCTAGGGCACTAGTCTAAGGCAATTGGCGAGGCCCATAATAATGAGTAAAAAGTAATAAAAACAGAAGGAAAAGTCAAAAGCTGCTCACCCTGGCATAAGGAAGCTATCTTTCCTCATGCCAGGCCCCTAAAGTTGCATTCAAGTTAGCCTTTTAGCATTTTAGGGACAGTATATTGCATTGTCAATAAAGAATACAGAAAACTATTAAAAATGGCTAAAAACACTAAAAATCTCAAAATTTCATGGAAAATCTGGGTCCAGTGAGTCAGCTGATGCCTGCTCCTTGCCCAAATAACTGATTTCAGGGAAATATAAGCCCTTACAGCCTATCTGGACCCCCTCCTCAAATGGGTGCAGGGCACAGCACAGTAATAGGGCTTTCCTATGTTAATATATGGGAATTATGTCAAAACAACGTGGTCAACATTCATATACCTGAGTTTTAGACCTTGAAGAACATACATTGGCAGGGTAGGCCAACCTCTCAAGTCTCCATTCCCAAAAAATGAAAAAATCCTACGCACCTAAACCATGCGAGAATTCTACCCAAACATTGAGAAGTGACCCCTGACCTCTCTGGACAGCTGATGACCGCATGTAAACCTATATCTTCTTCAGCCAGCCAGACAACACAAACATGGCTGCAAGTCTGTTTTTTCACCAAAATTAAAATACTACAACCCTTACCTATAACATCCAAGTCCAAAACAACAACATTTCCCTTGAAAAAGACTTCTTTACACTCTACATTACATTGCCATCTCTATATACTAAAACTGGGCCCTCTGCGCCTGCGCTATTACTAACCTTTGCCCTGTCAGGGCACAGCACAGTAATAGGGCTTTCCTATGTTAATATATGGGAATTATGTCAAAACAACGTGGTCAACATTCATATACCTGAGTTTTAGACCTTGAAGAACATACATTGGCAGGGTAGGCCAACCTCTCAAGTCTCCATTCCCAAAAAATGAAAAAATCCTACGCACCTAAACCATGCGAGAATTCTACCCAAACATTGAGAAGTGACCCCTGACCTCTCTGGACAGCTGATGACCGCATGTAAACCTATATCTTCTTCAGCCAGCCAGACAACACAAACATGGCTGCAAGTCTGTTTTTTCACCAAAATTAAAATACTACAACCCTTACCTATAACATCCAAGTCCAAAACAACAACATTTCCCTCGAAAAAGACTTCTTTACACTCTACATTACATTGCCATCTCTATATACTAAAACTGGGCCCTCTGCGCCTGCGCTATTACTAACCTTTGCCCTCCAAAACAAAACATTGCACTCTATCCAGGCCACTTCTTCTTTGTCCCATCCACCTGTCCTTACCTATACACTGTACCTAGTCATTGCCATTCATATTAATGCATCACCAGGCCTTAGATAAGCTATATAAGAGAACAAATATCTTTCTTTGGGTCAAATGCTCCTCACAGTTTATATATTGTTTAAAAACTTATTTAGAGGCAATGCAATCTATATTGCCATCAGTTGTCAACAATTGTGACTTAACTGCTAAAATTTATCATTTTACATGTCCATAGTATACATGCATAGCTACTGTTCAGAATTGTGTTAGGCCTGCTATTATTAATTGAATTCCTTCACCAAAAGAGATCTGACACGTACAGCAATTATTGTTTGTATATTGTTTCTCATTTGAACATATTGTAATAATGTATGTCTACACTACTTGTTAAGGTACTGAACTCGATAAGAAGAAAATTCTTATTTAACGTCCACTTCATGGAATGGCTAATCCAATCAGATTTTGTTGTTTCTAATGCATGAACTAGTTCCATTGTTTCTTTATCCCACTAATTACTGGGTCCCAATGCCACCCCAACTGAACATTTATAATTTTGTTATTCATCTGTTCTATGCAGGTATGACATTGTGCACCATGGCAATTGTTTTGATCTGTTTGGGTGCCCCTGTCTACTTTTTGCAACCTTCAAAGTCTACAGCTGATGGTAAGTTTCCCTTTGAATACATGTATGTACAAAGGCTTGATCTGAGATGGTGTTGAAGCTATACCTGAATGTACATGTATGCTCACATCCTGTGTTCAACAATTTTGTGACATTTTTATGGACCCATTATTTTCTATACCAAATACCAACACTTTCTCTTGACACAGGAGCATCCCTATTGGCCCTCTTCCCTCGTCGAATGAAAACATTTGTAGGAAGAGAAGATGTCTTCAGCAGGATTGACACCTGTCTTCAAGGCAACCAGACCTGCCTCATCAAAGGGCTGGGTGGTGTTGGGAAGACATCAGTAGCCATTGAGTACGGACACAGACAGGCTCAGAAGTACCCCAGCGGGGTGTTCTGGCTCAAGTTAGCAAGTAAACCGGACCTGTGTGCCAGTATGATTCCGTATAATCAGAGCTTGTCTGTTCTTGTGAGTGGGGATGAACCTGTGAAGAGTAACACTAACAATGATCTGAGGAGCTGTGAGTCTGTTAAGAATCTACTTAAACTGTACTTGACAAGGTCTGAGGGTTGGCTCTTGGTAGCTGATGAGGCAGCTCGACGGAACATGACAGAACTTGGATCCCTGCTGCCACACAACTTGAAAGAAAACATGCATGTTTTGTTGACTTCTCGGGAAGGTCTAATGCTAGATTCACAGAGTATTCCAGTGGTCAATCTTCTGCCATTTAATGAAACTGAGGCCCAGGAAATGTTTAACAGAACAGTCAGACCAAGCAGCAAGAAAGACAGGAAGGAGATCAAACATCTCGCAGGATCCCTCGGACACCACCCTCTGGCCTTGCAGTTTGCATTTGCGTACATAAAAGCGACTGATTGCTCGGTTAAAGAATATCATGATAAATATACTCAGGGCAATGCAACGGAGAAGGTAGACTTGCTAGATGAAGAGGGCATTGACAGAACGATACGACGACTGTTTGATATTACTTTCCAATACATCTCACAACTGTCTAGCAAGGCTTCTTACTCGCTTAAGCTTTTAGATATGACATCATTTATGGGCCCAGATTGCATCCCCTGCCCAGAACCTGACAATGAGCATTTTTCAAAACTCATCAATATTTCTGGCAAATTAGACAAACTGGATATCAAAAAAATGATCTCAGTCCTCAAAAAATTTTCCCTCGCTTCTGATTGCAGTGCCTTCTATCCTTGTGCTTTCAGTGTGAATAGGATAGTACAAGAGGTCATTGTGGCACAAATGAATGAATCCACCAAACTCAGTCATCTAGAAAATGCATTAGAATATTCCACATTGTTACTAAGGCAGAGTGATGACACCTCAGTTGTCCAGTCAGAGCTCCTGATGGCTCATGTGCATCATCTGGCCTTAAATGTTGAAAGGTACCAAACAAAAATCTCAGTCAACAGTTCATGCATTTTCTTGAATAAGTCTGCCGAGTTTTTCTCCCAATGGGGTGCATGTGCAGAGGCTTACTATTTTCTTCATGTTGAACAGTTACTATTATTCAGACATAATTCTACCCTACAGAATCTGTGCTATCACCTTCGTGATCATGTAAACTTTCTTCAGAAAATTCTGCTGCCATGTTTATACAGTGGTAATGTGTCTAGATCTTCTGCATTCATGGGAAACATAGCAGAAAACCTGTTTTGGGCAGGGTTAATGCTGGAAAAAAAGTCATCATCATACAGTATTGAAGATGCATGGAGTACTTTGTGTTTTGATGTCAAAGAATCATTAGAAAGGACAACTTTGTATATTTATAAGAGTCTATTCCAACTTATCCCAGATGGAAAACTGGCTGACTTAAATATGACCGAGATTGCCCCTTCCCTTTTGTTCAAAGATGCTACAGGTTACAGATTACGTATGGAGATCAGGCAGCTGAATAATTACTATGCTCGGGGGTGCCAAGGATCCACCACATGTACTTTTGATACAAGCATGGTTTGGAACCTTTTTAGATTAACCATTGCTCTTGCAGGGATACCACTTCGGCAGGCAGCTCATGAGCTGAATTGGTTTTTTGATTTAATTGGGTTTGATACTATAGAATTCTGTTCTCAAGTACCGTGCAGTGACAAATCAACTGCCGATAATGAGGTCATAATATACTGTTGCGATCTGATAGAGACGATCAGAAGTGAATTGCGTGATTTAAGGAGTACTGTTGAGAACTCAACATCAAGTGTTAACATGGTTCTGTTGGAGTACTATCAGTTAATGGACACATCTACATGTACCAATAGATATTATGAAGTGATGCTAGGGCTGCCCAGGGAGAATAAAGAATTTGATATTCTAGAATTTGCTTATTATGAAGGAAATGAACTGTTAGGGGATCCAGGAGTTGTGAAAAGTGTCCTGTCTCAGAAAGCGAATGCTGAAAAAGGGAGTAGAAATCCAGGTGCAGTTTCACCTTTATCATACTTAGCATTCCATCAGCAAGTTAAGTGGAAGTATCAGCTAGCCACTAAGACACGTCAGCTTAGGCAAGCTATTGATGAAAACATAGCTCAAGGGGCTGATGAGGATCAATTAAATGTATTTCCAATCATACAAAACTGCTCAGTTCTGTCAGTTACTTTAGCTGAGGTGGAAAAATACAGTAAGACCACATTAACGCAACTACGAGTACAAGTACTAGATCAATTTCTCAGCATATTCAAGGTACTGCTAGGTAGTTGTCATAGACTACAGTCAATAAATAACAGGATGTTAGATGCGATGGACCTTATCAGGGATAAAAAGGAGATTAAAAAATTTAGAGAAATGTTTATGAAACACATCAGTGACTTCTCACATAGTTTAAGTGAACTTGTAAAAGTTATTCATGGTAATCACTTTGTGACATCAGACTGTATGTGTTTCTCTCCTTCCATAAGATCAGTTTTTGGCTGTGAGAATGTTTTTCCATTCATTTTGTGGGTTTGGAATGTTCAACAGATCATGACCAAAAATGTGGACTGTTCACTGGATCATCCGAACCTCAATTTGAGTTGCTTTTCCAACTTAATGTCTGGTTCAAAAGAATATGTGAGGAAGACCCTAGAATGTTTCTTCCCATCTAAAGAAAACATGGAAATGCAGTTTGGACAGCCTATTTCTGATGGAGGAGAAAATTTTAAGTTTTATCAGAGAGATAGTAAAGTTGTTGGTTTGGCTGACTATTCTTCTACAATAAGACATATAATTCATGATGACCATGACAGAACTGGTTGAAAACAAAAATCTGTGTAGATTCATATACATGTACATTTGTAGTGCAGGTAGACATCAGAAATATCTGTACAGCTCCAAGTTTACCTGCAGATGCAGGCTGCTGTATTTCGAGCCCTCCATATACATGTGTACAGTTAACATTCAACTGTCTGATTTATCACTACATACATAATACATGTACAGTACATACTCTTTCTTGTATAATGTATTACTAGTATGTATACAATAAAAAAACATTGAAGTACACAAGGTTGTCCACAATGTACTGTGTGCTAGTGCCTTTATTTATTACAAGATACTGAAAAAGCCATCTACATTAAAAATCGCAATTTATGACAATTTTCAAATGCCCACTGTCATTGCTTCATTGTCACAACATAAAAGCTACTTTGACTAAAGAAAATAAAAAATTAATAGTTTAAAAAGCTGACAGAATAAGATCAGAGACAAAAACAATTCTTGCTGAATGAATTAATAAAAAAAAGTCTATAAATAACAGTAAAGTACATGTAACATGTCCTTACAGGTAGACCAGTGGGCTGTATTCCATACTTACTCTTACCTAAAACAAATAAAAACCTCTGCTGCTATGATACTCAATGACATTAACTAAGTAATAATTGAAGGTTAATATTCTTCATGGAAAACGGGGCCACCCCATATGTTATGCTTGTTGAACAGAAGCTGCTGTGGTACCCAATATAGCTGTGATTTGAATTAGAACAATTTGCTCCAATTACACAATTAAAAATCAAGCCGAACCAAACTTTGTCATCCCAGGCCTGAGTAGATCTATGCCCACTAAAACTAGTTAAAGTCCTCCATTGTTTGAAAGTCTTATAATAATACTGGCATGTTTCGCAGACATGCCAGAACAATAAAAATTGTTCTAAAGAAGTTCCATTTGTTCTCTGACGCGCGCAGCCTGCTGTCGAAACTCTTTCACTCTTTCCTCAATCTGTGCTTTCTGGAACATGAAACAAAATATACACTCATTTGAAAATGTCTCCTTCAATCCAAACTAATGTATTAATATACTACTGAGTAGTATACAATATATTGTGTTCATCAAACTCTGATGTGTAGACAAACAAAGACTGTCTTTTTCCCATAGTTGAATTCATATCAGCCACAAACATAGACTAAAGACTCCAGGTGTATATACTACTGCTGTAGGAAACAATAAAGTAAGCATTTTTATACTATAATATTCTTGGGTAATTGCAATCAATCAAATGATGGAATGAAGTCTCATGATTTATATAAAAATGATAAAAATAAGGTTTATTTATGTCATTGTTCCTTACTGTTCTGTTCTGCTGTCTCTTGCACTCGAGGTCCAGAAACTCCTTGACGGTGATTTCATCCAGACTTTTGTGGTTCTTCATTATCTTTAGTAGGTCACAGTTGGGCTGGTGACGCCTGTGTTCCGCCCTGGTTAGAAAAAAAAGCCATTTCCATATCACTATGTTCTCTTTCATCAAGGGGACTTTTAACAGTAGTTCCCATATTTGAGGAAAGCCCCACATTAAAGGATGTCTAAGAATGCACCACACTTAATAAGTAACCAGTTATCGATAGGGGTAAGGGTCTGGCCAGTTTTAGTGATCATCGAACTTGTTAACCTTATGCAGGCAGAAATACTAATAGTGTAAAACTGGAAGACAGTCAAGTGTATTTTGTTACTTGATAACAATATACCACTCCAGTAGATTGGGTGCCAGACTGTTGCCAAACTTGGGGATACTGTCAGTATATGTATTGGCCCTGAGAACAGTCTGTTATGCGGGCTAATAACGATGCAAATACATTTTTGTACATGTAAGTAGAGAACTGGTAAATAGCGATTTTTCAGTTACAAACAAACAAACAAACAAACAAACAAACACCATCAGCTCACCATGGGTCGTCATCAGGCTCCCATCCCTCCAGCTCCTTATAACACACAAAACACCTGACCAGGTCTGGCTGCTGGTCGGTGGGGATGTGGTAGAACCCAGCGGCTGCCATCTACAGCAGGAGGGAAACACATGCATCAGATTCACAAGTCCTGATCATGAGTTGTTCCTATTTCAGTCAACCTGTGAGCTTTGTACACCAGAGGACAGGGCTTTCTCCAGCCTTTGCTTTGAACTTCAACAAAATCAAGGTATAATGTTTATGAAGACAAATAATTTCAAATATAGTATAAAACATAGTTATTAATATACTATCATAATTCATAGTAAAAAAAGGGAATAAATACTTAGTTTATAATCTTTATTAGGGCTGTGCAGTGATTAATTAAGGAATACAAACAAGACTTGAAATATTATAAAAGATGTGCCAAAAATTTAGAACCATAATTTGAGTTTTACTTTTAGCCAAAAAAAGCCCCCCCTAGGCCCCTCCCCAACCACATAATTTGCATATTCAGAAATTATCAGATCGCTAGTTGCTCATATCATACACACACAAATACACGATTCCCTCCAACTATATGTACACAGAGTACGATGTAACTTCAAGAAGGATGCTGGCGTGCTTTTGCTCACAAAAATAAAGAATTAGCAAGTCCCAATCGTCGACGATATGACTAAAAACATCGTAACCCCTTCCCATATACATCTACTTGTACCTTGGATGGAACACACTGGCAGTTGTCGTCAAACGGCCAGTCCTTGAAGGTAGAGAGCCGGTTGTTCTCAGAATTCATGCTGAACTCCCACTTTTCAGCTGCTGTACAGGCTGTGCCGGTTTCCATGCTCTTTTTCTCCATTTTTACACGAAAAAAATTCAGTAACGGACGACTTTTGACAGGAAGGAGACTCTTTCAAAAATGGCGGTTGCTGGCAGCCTCGGTTTGGAACAAGAAGTGCGCTCTCGTACCCAGAGTGCTTGTGAGCACGAGCGCTCCTGGCGGAGAAAGGTAAACTGCACCACCATGAACAAGGCTATAATTTTATAGTTACAAAAATTATGTATAACTATAAGCTTATTTTTGCCAACATATTGACTTCTTTAATTTGGGAATAATGTGACATTCGGGATTACATGAAAAGCAGGCCAAAATGGCCTGAGCTGTAAATTGAATTGAAATTTATCAGTGGACTTTCCAAACTATTAAACTTTGATATAAAAACATCAACGTTATTATCAATCTCTTTTATATATTTTAACATAGAGTAAGTACTGTACTACCAAGGAGCTAATAACATCCTTGGTACTACAAATCTTATAGCATTTATAACACCTAGTATTTCTATGGAATACACAGCTATACAACAACAGACACCAACTACTTATTAGTACTTTTAATAGCAATTTTTAATGATCTTCTAGCAAAACATTAGTCACAATGGTGGCACAGCAGAAAATGGAAAATACTAATATTGTCACACAAATGATTGCTTCATAAAGTTAGAGGAGGGGTGTTTCAATCTTGACAGACCTACAACATAATTAATGGCTAACTACATAATGGAAGTTACGTACTGGAAACATTGAACAGCAAGAAATGGGCCCAAATAATTTAATAGTAAAATAACTGAGGCTTCTATTTTAATATAGTATTTAATATAACGTTATGTATGTGCATACTAGGAACACGATAGTCTTTGGTGAATTTCTGAATACTATTATGAACAATTAAAATACATTACATAAAGTCCCATTGTTTTATTTTACAACATTGAACGATTAAATGTGCGCAAAATATGGAAGTCAAAGGCATTGTACGTTTACTGTATGATGGAAATTAGTGCTAGACATACAGTTAGGTCATGATGATTCTCCTTACTTATGAAATTTTAAAATTTCACATTACAAGTAGACTCGATTGGTCATACAGTGTGCAACAACCTAAAGTGGTATAAAATGTGTGATCGACTTTTTCCCCTTACTGTGACACTGTTACCATACTTTTTTTTATCATGAAAACCTTGAAAATACCTTCAATGATTTCAGTCCGAAGAACAATTTCTGACACTAGTAGTATGCCAGACTGACCAAATTTGTAGAATATAACTTTTCTACTTTGTGCATTTCCAAGTTCTTTCATATCCTTCTAATTCTTGCCCTACCGCAAACTACCGCATGTACTTTAAATGTAAATGGCATTGTATAGAAGAAGCTCATTTCTTTAAAAATGAGGTCTGAAGATGTATGATTGTGTGTAACTATAAAACATCAGTTAGAATATATAAACAGGACTGTCACAGTGGTAGATGCATGATAATGGGAGGCACTTGAGTTGCCTAGTGTTCAACTACAAAGTATGCAAATTTGATGGACATAATTTGCATAAACGTGAATGTCAGTGTGTGTATTGATGTAGCCTATCTTATTGGCATGGCACTGTTTTACAGTGGAGAACACACATTACCTATTACATGTATACAGTTGTACATTTGTGTGTTTGTGAGAGCCATAATATATTTATACAAAGTTTTACATGAAATCTGTTAGCACTCATTGCTTAGTACATTAAAAGAGAAATTTTTATCATCAATTACAGCATAAATCATGTCTTTTATATTTACTTGTATGTATGGAATACACTTTTCTGCATGATCCTAAGTAAATGACTGAAGGTGTTAAAGAATGAATAAATAACACTTATGCCCAATAATTTGCACATTTACATGCATACACATATCATATTAATCATGTACATCAACATACTGAATCATTTATTGTAATGTGAATCATACATTTGCAACAAAACGCAGATGTGTTTTAAATGTCATGTACATGTACATTTACATTGGATGACACATATAGCCTAAAATTCTTGCACTACTCACTTCTTTCAGAATTTATTCTGAATAAAATGCATTATTTTACAGATTACACTTGCTGCCAATAGAATTTTTCATTATGTATTGTTTCATGATATGACATACTAAAAAAACTGTTTACAAGTCCACCCCCCCCCCGCACAGTGGAAGAGCCCAATACCATGAAATCCTGACACTATGTGCAATGATGGTAGAACATACAAGAAGGCAATAATAATACAGTATTATATACATGATTAAGGTACAGTTTGTACTTGCACATGAGCATATCCTATCTTTGCTTGAAAAGACTACAATGTGTGCAGGACCTCATATTGCAAGCAGTCTTACTCTTACCGGTACAAATACATAAATGTCATATCAGACTGACGTTACAACATTTAAACTTTATTATCTTGAAGGTAAAATACTGACAAAATGTTTTTATACAGTCATGGAAGCTTCTGTCTGCAGTCCGCATAGATATTTTAGAGTAAATATTTCTGATAATCTGTTCAGGTATGTAATATGTATTTTGAATTTTTTTCCAATAATTGTTTTACAGAAAGGACAGGCTGTTCATTAAAAAATCATCATGATTGTACACTTGTAACTGGCAGTGTCTAATATATTTTTCTTGAGCATGCCTCAAGGGAAGATCTCTTTTCTTTTGTAAAGTCGGCAGGTTTACTGTTAGTATAGGTGCTCTTGATGGCTTGTTTCTTTCACCTTGTCATTGACAACACTGTTAGCTTACCCCAGTACTAAAGTCTCTAGAGCTGTGTACCTAAACAAATTTTAGGTACAGGTACAAGTACATGGGTTTAGATACAGGCCCTGTGCCTGTACCTAAACAATTTTGGCCAATCATCTAAGCTGAAGGTGTAGTAAACCGTCTCTTTTTTAGTGCTGAATTGTCAATTTTGTTTGAGGGTTTACATATTGTAATCTAAAAACAAGAGTACAATATTTACGAACTTTCTTAATTCTCAAGGGCGAAATTGTGAAATGGTTGTCTTTGAGATTTGCTATTTATCTATCATTAGTGTGAAAAATGACGTCCAACAGTGTTTTATATTACTCAGGTACACATGATCAGGTCTGGATATGTACCTAGGTATTAGGTACACAGCCCTAGTGCTTACTGCTCTAAGAGTCATTCTAATCCCCGTTGTCCCCGTCATCTGTGTCCCCTGTGTACCAGTGAGCTCCGTGGTGCCATGTCGGCTTTATCCTACTCCCTGAGCCGTCGCTAGAACTCCTCCTCCTGTCGCCCTCCGCGCTTCTCGTCTCTTTCCGACCCTGTCGCGACGACGTGTCGCTGATGCTCCGGATTCTATCCGGGTCGGCTGGCCGCGTCAGCTTAACGGACTCGTGGTAGCTCGGTCTGTCCCCGTCGTCATCTTGTCGGGGAAGCAGCGACGCAGGCGGCGCTTTCGCGGGCCTGAGGCTGGGGGACAGGTTGGTAGACGACAGTTCTTTCTCAGACTCCTGTGGGAAACTCCGACCCTGTTTAGACAGATCCTGTAACGGAATGGCCTCCGCGGTCTCCGCAAGTATCGCCTCCCGTGCCTCTTCCACGGACGTCTCATGTTGTAAGGATCGGTTCTGCGCCTTCGGACTGGAGCGACCCTTGTTGGGGCTAGCGGACCGGCGACTTGAGGGGGACGTTTGGGAGGACGCCCGCCGCTGTGCGAACCCTGGGACGGGCCCGAACTTGCGCATGGTGGGAGGGGGGTCCTGGTGGCTGGGGTGGGCGGTGTACATACGCATGGCTCCCATCTGCAGGGTTCTGGGGAATCAAACAGAGAACATGGAAGAATGAATGGGGCATTCCTAGAAAGCAACTGTATAATATAATAAACAAAGTTGCCAAAGATGAACTACATTGAATTCATATACTTTCTTTACAGTTACATATAAAAAAACTGGCAGTCAGTGAGAATGGAAAATTTTCCCCAAGAAGGTTACATTTTTGGTAATGTTTGTAATAGTTCCACTGTAATGGTGTTTGTGGCTGAAGAGCATAACTCAGGAGGCAATGGATGGATTGCTATGAACCAAGAAATGATTAGATTATGGGCCATCTGGTGGCTTCCTTTGGTACTGCAGCAGAACAGGACCTCCAGCATAGCGTCCCATCCAAGAAGAGGTCCCTAACTCAAGGTAGGCACTAATTTTCACCTGAGTCAAGTGGAGGAAGTAGATATAAAGAGCACAACACCAGGATTTGAGGCAAGAACCTTCATATTGAAGTCAACAACCCTAACCACAAGGCCATCATGCATCCTTTTTAATGGTCCTTTTTTAGGGCCACAATGCAAAACAAAAGACTAAATTTTCCCAGCCCATACCTGTGAGGAGGAGGTGTGGGTGATGGAGGTGACACCGCCGCCGGCATGTCCAGTAGTTTGGAGATGAGTCTCATCTTAGCCTGGCGTGCCCGGCTCCTGCCTTTAGTCATCCTCTGTTTGGCGGCCATGCAGCGGATGTGGTCGTCGAAGATGAACTTGGCGGACAGGAGTGGCATGGGTTTGTAGGAGGAGGGGCTGGCCTGCACGCTGACGGAGGACGTCGGCTTGTGGATCTGTACGTGGAGGGCGCGGCTGTCTTCTTTGTCTGCTGTCACCTCAACATCCTACGTAGGGACAGATAGGATTTGACAATTAAGCACTAAGATTTAAAACATAAGCATGCAAAAGAAATGGTGTCCAAGGGGTTGCCAACACTTTGTATATGTGAGTCATCTGTCATGTACAAAACTCGTATTTTCATTAATTTCAATAACTGGACATTAAACCTAAACAGAACACTCTGGAGACAGGAAGTTGAGAAGGGCTTACATCAGGGGGAAGAAAAACAGAGACTAGTATCAGAACTGAGACACTTTAAGTGCAGAGCCAAGAATAAGTACAAGGTGTAGATGAAGTACTTTCATGGTCTTGTAAGACCGACGAAGTGCCTACTACTTAAACCTAGATATCATGACAAAGCATCCTGCATACCCTACATATAAAATGGCATTGTCAACATGACAAATCTAAAAGACAAAGTCAACCTCCTACATGTACATGTACTGCACATGAACACCCACCTGCAGATACCCCACAAACCTGGCCACGCCCCAGCCCAGTTTCTTGGTGTCTGGCTCCACCAGGATCAGCTGGTAAACGTCGATCACCAGGAAACGCCGAACTCTCTGTCTACAGGAAACAAGTAGAGGCCAAAAAAAAAATATTATTAACCTTTTATGGCATAAATTTTACCTACAGGTAATTTAGTTGAGTGATAGCACGTGGGTGGGTAGAATTTTCTGGTAGCAGGTCACAAAAGAACAGACACAGGAAGTTCGGCCCCAGAAATTTTCTACATTGTACTAATTTATTATTTTCCTTTGACAGATAAGTAAATTACTGTATATCCAAGAGTGGGCTTGAAATAGAGTAAAACTTACTTGTCTTCTGTCACCACTGTGCAAGCAATCAGGTCACTGTTGTCTGCAGAACAATATTGAAAACATCTGTTAGTAACATCCACCTGAAATCATCACATCTCAAAAGTTTTTTACAGAGGTTTTATTTGGAAATTTGTGGGTTTTTCAGTGCCTCTTCACTGCTACAAGACACAAGGAATATGTGTTTTAGTGCTACAGTACTGTTTTTTGACAGCTAACTTGTGAGACTGCAAAAAACTCCTTTTAACTCCTGCTGCAAAATTAAATACTAGCAAAAATAACAGACTGTACGGTACTTACTGAGGTCTAACTTCTCATTCTCCTTGATGAGCTCGCTGTCTTTGGTGAGCGGCAGTTGGTCCTCGACCTTCAACTGCAGCGACAAGGACAAGTCCCGCAGGAGGAAGAACGTGCGCATGGCCTGATGGGAAATAATCGTACTGGTCATTATTACATTTGTACCTTGTAAATCCTGAAACCTTCATTGTGGTTTTTATCTTTGAGGTTTTGCAGTAACTTTCCATCATGTTTTTTATAATGTGGCAGTTTTTGGGTGCTTGGCAGAAAAATCATTACAACCATTGGACAATGGACAATGTATTCTCAAATCTAAAACACTTTCAACCCTTTTTGGCATATAGGGGTCGTGCTCATCTCTGTTTCCATAGTCCTCAGGCCACAAAGGGCCAATATACATGTTGTAGTAGGGGACTACTGGTAGTGGTGTGTATTCAACTCCCATACTCTTTCTCACAAGTACTGAATACTAAGCAGATAGAGAGAGAACAGTGTGTAACAAGTGTGTGAACTCCTGACCTTCCAAATACAAGGTGAACACTCTACTTCCTAGTACACCGCACTGATTTACATAGCCGCAGGAAAGATTATAATTTATAGAAACCAATAAAGGTGCTTATTGGATATCCATGTTTTAGACATCCTTACCTTTCTGGCCCTCTCGACCTCCCCACACGGCAGGCGTTTGTCAAACTCTATGCCTGTGAGAGGTGTTCCAGTAGGGGGGAGTAACACTGAAGGGTCCATGGTCAGGTACTCTACATTCAACGGCTTCTCCTGGAACAACAATAATCGTACATTCTTAATCTTATCAAAACAAAACAGAACAAAAGATGACTAGTTGATGATAATTCAGATCATTAAGTCTGCCCAATGCTAAAGTTCCATATGACTTATGACTACCTGTAGTTCTGCAAAACAAAAGACCTTTTGACTAGCATATTTCTATTATCCTAATTTTGCTGACCAGAATAACATCGAGTGACCCCTTACATGTGCAACCTTACAATTTCAATCTTCTTACATTGTAAAATATGGTTTCAAAAAGAGCTAAATTCAGTATAACATTGAGCTTGTTACAATTTGAAGGTGATATTACAATAATACATGTATGTAATTATTACACAAACCTTCATTTTTCCAAACTCATCCTCAAACATATCCAGAAAGATCTCATCACCCTGTAACAAAAAGGCAAACAAAATGTCTTTCTTTTATCTGCAATCACGATACTGTAAATCAAGAAACGTTCATGGCAGTTTCACATTTGCGGTTTTTGCAGTCAGCAGCAAACACATGCATTGTGTAGGTAGGACTGTTTTGACATCTGTGGACAATGTCTTTCCCTTTCTACCAAAAGAAGTTAACACCATCAGGCCTTCTTTGCAATAATTGCTAACATTGCCAAAAATGTCAGGTCATACATGTGCGTTACAGTTGAAAACAGGACTACAATTAAACACATGTAAGTTTTAGAAATGGAATTGCGGATGTTTTTCATTTTTTTTATTGATCTCCATTGCTATGAAGAGTCATACCTTGTAGAACATGCGGAGCAGGAGTGTTGCGGCCTCTCGGACCCCCTCCACGTAGGCCACGTGTCTGTCCTGTAGGTAACACTGGTCCCGGGACAGCACCAGCTGTTTCACCAGCGTACAGCTCAGCCACAGCGTCGCAACACGGACAGCAGAAACTGGGGATGCACATGTCCACATTATATTTTTTTCATTAATACCTCAACACTATACTCTACCCCAGTACACTACGCAACATCATTAGACTCTACACTACACTCTAAACCTTCACACTACACTAAAAGCTTTAGTAAAACATTACACTTCATACCTCCACACTGCACTCTATATCTCTACTCCCAAACTGCACTCTATATCTCTACTCTACACTACACTACATCTCTACACTCTATACTTTGGCACTACATCTCTATACTATACTACATTTCCATCCTAAACCATACACTTTACTAACCTATCTCCACAATACATTGCAGCTACACACTACAAAACAGCTCCACAATAGAGTGTTTCTCCACAGCATACTATATTGAAGCTACATTTTCATACTACACTACATGTATCTCCACACTACCCTACATGTACATTTCCACACTACATATCATCTCCACGCACTTCAGTCACACCAAATGAAAGAAATACTCGACATCACACCTTGTTTAGTGCTGAGTTCTAGGACCTTGAGCAGCCTCTCCAACAGTGGTGAGCTGTAATGTTGTTTAGTTGGGGAGTGGACAGACGGCATGGCTACAGCATCCATCAAGCCTTCCCGAATACCTGACAATAATATATGGCAAAAGTCAGTACAGCTTTGTCATCGTAGGACATACCAGGAACAGCCTGCCCTGGTATGCCTGTAAAGACTATGTTGTATCAATTGGAAGCATTCTGCAATTGATAATTGGGAAAATGAAAGCCAATTTTTGGCTTATTCACGAGTATTATATCTAGGAAAAAAATATATTTCAATTAAAGGGGTATTAATGTCTCCATTTGGATGGTACCGGGTACAGTACATTCAAAGACAACAGAATCAGTCCCTACCTTCATTTTTGCCCATGGCATACAGAAGACAGAGGGAAAACAAGGCTTCATAGTCGTTGTTTCCACAGTCCAGGGTGTCGAATATGGCATCAAGGTATCGCCTGAAAAAGAATGACTGTAGTTACAAAGGAACTTTGTAGCAAGTCCTTACCAACACCAACAGATACCGAATGTACATTCAGGGCTCTCACTACTACTGGAATATGCAGATTACTGCAGGTAAAATTGAAGCTGTGCAGGTATTTTTGGGGATACAGTATGAATATTCCAAGTCCTTACCTTTTGAAGCCTGTAGTAGTCTCTGTCTGTCTTACACCGGTGGCTGCGGCTCGAGAACATTTCTCCTCATCTGTGATGTTCTGACTACTGATGACTGTGTCTCCTGGTAATGCTGGTGTGGAGACGCACAAAAACAGATGTCAGAAACAAAACAGTCGTTGCATGGTAAATCACATTATGGTAAAATTAAAGAGATCTCCAACCCCCAAAATATGCAAACCAGGTATTTCAGCTGTCTGACATAATACCATGATTGTATATTCACCATAGTCCATTCATTCAAACTCACATAAGAGATCTCAAACAGGCAAGGGTCTCATATATTATAAGTTCTTAAATGATATGGTATTCAAGTCTTGTATATTAGTTTGTTTAGTTGTTTAGTTTTTCTGAAAATTGCAACATCTGTGAAATTAGTGGATGCAGGAAGATGGTGTTGCAAAACAAAACCCTGCTGGAAACAAAGGAAAACATCCACAATGGCTAAGAAAGAACAAAAGGTGATGCTCCCAAGGCAATGCAAACAAATTCTTGCAGAATGATGCTGTTACCAGGGTATGGAAATGTCCTTGCCACCACAGTATGGGAAACAGCTACTGACCAAAAACAAGAAAAAACACCACAATAGCCATATGAGAAAAAGAATAAAGGCTTCACCCCTGAGGCATCAAAAAAACATGCAGAATGACACTGTTACATAAAGACATTCTTGCCAAAACCGTAGAGTGAGAAATTACTGGTAACTCACTGAAGTTCTAACTGAAATCAAGAAAAAGCACCATTGCCACCAAAATAGCTGCATGTGAAAATGAATAAAAGGCTCCACTCCCAAGGCACCACCACAGAAATCCCTGCAAAATGATGCAGCAATCAAGTGGAAGCACGACTGTTATATGAGAAACATCCCACTCAAAGATAACTGAAAACACACCACCATAGCAGCAGACTGTAAGAAAGAATAAAAGGCTCCGCTCCAGAGGCACCGCCAAAAAAAACCTTGCCACCACCACAGTAGTATGAGAGTCCAGGGTCTCCTGGTCTCACCTGTGGGCTTACTCCTCCTGACTGATGTGCCTTGCATCTGGCTTTCCGTACTACTTCTGCGATACATCAGGGTATAATCAGACGGGGCCTGGCCGTCAATTGGACCCATCAACCAGTGTGCGGGGCCTACCAGAGGGGCGCGGGAGCGATCACTCGTCTTAACACTCCGCAGGGACAGATCTGATGAACGTGGTTAGCTGGTTAGTTAAGTTAGTTACAAAGGACACAATGTTTTATCCATGTTCTTCCACAAAATAAGACCACTACACTACAGCACCAGAGAAGAGCAAGAGATGTAACATCATCCTTCTAAATGACCCAGAATCATAGACTTGCAACAAAACACTTTTCATATCCCTGTACTAAAGCTGAAAAGGTTCGCATCCAGGCAAGTGTTCGCTAGTCTAGCCACTTGACCATTCAACCCCACAAGATTGTTCACGACAACACAAAGTTGGAAATATCACCAGCATATGCAGGTTAGTATAGGTAAGATTGGAGCTGTGAACAGAAATCAAAGCAATGGTTTCTGAACAGTTTTTATGATCCAATACTTCCTAATGCTGAGTGGTGCAGGTAAAATTTGTCTGGTGCAGGTTATTTTCAATGTTTACCTACACCAGTGCAGGTATGCTGAAAAAAGGATTTCTCATCAGTAGTTTTCCTACCTTCTGCCCCTGTATCAGGGAACTCTCCCGAGTCCTTATAGAAAGTGGAGTTCCCCTCTGTGTACTCTGTCTGCTCATCCTCTCCCGGCTCTGTGTTGCGAGAGTTGGGCTGCTTCTTCTGTTTCTTCTTCCCCCTCCCGATACTGGCCTCGAGCGACTTCTCCAGGGTCTCAGCCGGTGGGAAGAAGCGACGCGGGTTCCCTGACGAGGGATCCTGGTGATGTGAGGGAGAACAAATCTGGGTCAGTAATACAAAGGAAAAGGACACAAGATCGGTGACATGACAGGATTTGAACCAAGGACATCTGGGTATTCATGACCTTCAAGTTCGCCATATTTCCTGTGTCTGACATTTTTGTTCTGTCTCTCTGCCTGCCAGTGCTATCAACCTACTTTGAAATTTACCCCATTTCTTGTGTCTAACCTTTTGCCCACTTAAGTCATTCTGCCTGTCAATTTTACCTTCATCCCTGGTACTGTCAACCTACTCAGCCACTGAAAACTGTACTATACATTTTGTACCTGGAAGTTAATAAGTGAACTTTATTGCTCGACAGTTGTACATGGTACATGTACAATGTATGGCAGTGTGATCAATACAATACAATACAATCAAGTCTCTTCTAACAGACTACTTTACTACAGAAATATGAAATGGCGTATGACATGATATGCGTTAGGCATTACTATCTGTTACAATACTTTCTCTCTTTAGTATTATGCACTACATATATATTGGCCTAAGTACGTAGATATAGAGTCGGAGCATGACATAAGTAGATTGAAAATGTCTATGTCTTTGGGAGAGGTTTACCAGCTTTACATGTGATCATTTTCATTAACTTTTGTCTATCTGAAGTATATGTAGGACAGGTCATTAATTGTCGAAAGGCTCTACCCCTGAAGCATTGCCAGAAAGCAGTGCTGACCTGGTGAGAGTTTGTTGCCTGTTCCTCCTCCAATGCCTCGCCCTGAGGACCTTGGTTAAAGACGAAGTCAGCCAGGGAGTTCACCAATGGGGCGTGCTGAATTATCAGAAATACCTGCAGTATTCAGGGGATGTAAAACAGATTGTGACTGGCTGGCTGGAGAAGTGACTAATAATACTTAATTTTATCATTTTTTGCCAAAATTATGGCCATTTCATCATCTTGATTTAGAAAATTGGCATGTCTAATATGAAAAATATCAAAACTAAAACTTGTACATAGCAGTCCCAATATTATCATTATGTATACCTACCTGTGATAGTAGGAACAGGGAGACAACTGGACTGACTCTACTTCTTCCATCCTGCTGAAAAAAAAAAACACACACAACATTAATTCTAATAAACAATTAACATAGAATCATTACTTTAAATCCTGGCGTACTGTAAAATTCAGTTTAATTTGCTGCTAGCAGAGATCTTGATTGGAGTCTGTAAATTTTCGGATATTTCCAACTTTGATTCATGTCACTTTAGATCAAGGGGTTGACTTGAAATTTAGGATTTGTACAATGGCAAACCACCCTGGCACATTAACAGCAATTCCAGCAAGACTGAGAACATTTGCCATGTAAGATGATCTCAGTTTGCTATAAGAGGTCATCACTGGCATCTCTGTTACCTGATATCGTACTCCTTCTGTGCCATCGTGACTGAGAGAGTACACGTACAGCGGAATGAAGTTAGAGTCTGTTACCTGATATCGTACTCCTTCCCCACCGTCGTGACTGAGAGAGTACACGTACAGCGGAATGAAGTTAGAGTCTGTTACCTGATATCGTACTCCTTCCGTACCATCGTGACTGAGAGAGTACACGTACAGCGGGATGAAGAGTCTGTTACCTGATATCGTACTCCTTCCCCACCGTCGTGACTGAGAGAGTACACGTACAGCGGGATGAAGAGTCTGTTACCTGATATCGTACTTCTTCCGTTCCGTCGTGACTGAGAGAGTACACGTACAGTGGGATGAAGAGTCTGTTGAGTAGATGGTCCGTCAGGACATCGTTAAGGTCCTTGATGTTGAGACACAGGATGTCGTTTAGATAGTGGAGATGGTCCAGGTGTTCTGCCACCAGGTCTCCCAGCCTGCCACGGCTCTGGTGGCTGAAACGACATCATACGTGAGTGCCCTCTGGCTACTTTTAAAGGAATTGCAGGCAAATGATGATGGTGTGAGTCAATGGCCTCATGGTTCCATGGTTCTGGTTCAACATTCACACACACTCACTCACTCACTATCCTGGTTTAGATTATTCTGCTGCCGGTTTCCCTGTCCCAGGGGTGGGCAGCAGACGGCTGTTCTGGACACCTCGCCTCCAGCTGGCTCTGTCCTGTGGGTCTGTGCTAGACAGACCACACTCCTTAATATCCCTCTGGAGACACTCCACCCAGGTTTTTCTCGGCCTGCCGCCGCCTCTGCTGCCTGGCAACTTGAAGTCCACGATGGTGTTGATGCAGCCACTGGCACGCTTAACGTGCCCGTACCATCGGAGGCGGCGTGACTGCACAACAGACTTGATGTCTTCCAGGCCAAGCTTAGCAAGCAAGACACAAGAACAGCTTTCTTTGGACATGCATGTGCTTCCTCTGGCTACCTTTAAAAGACTTGCAGGCAAGTCTGGTAAATGCTGTGATGCAATACCAGTACTAGTATCTGGGATAGCTTCTTGTTGTAATTGAATGGCCTCATGGTTCTGGTGACTGAAACAACATCATACATGAACACTGGCTGTATAAGTGTGCCCTATGGCTACTTTCTCAAGAATTGCGGTTGGGTCTAATTGATGTGGCTGAAACAATTTACAAATGAAGAGCTTTTTTGGGGATATGCATGTGTGCCCTCTAGATACGTTCAACAGAATTACAAGTCTGCTCGATGTGGCTAAAACAACATTCATACATTCAACATAGCAATCATTTGTCCAAAATTGTGAACAGTGAGTTTCATGTTATGTGGATAGAATCTATTTGAACCAAAAACATTGTGACTCATTCAGAGGGCAAAGTGTTTCATGTAGTATAGCCTGCATTGTGTCTAAGGGCAGTTATACTTGCTGACCAATTGAAATTCTAAGCAAGACATCACAGATCCCAGACTTCCGGGAAGTATTATGCATTTTCCTGACCTTCAAGTTCACAGATCTCTGGGAAGTATTATGGGTTTTTGTGAATGTATTGAAACTGCGGAAGGGATGGTATGATGCACTTAGCCACCCAAAATAATACTCCCGTACCCAGAAGTAACAGGAAAAACTCACTCTGCGTCATTTTTGACACAGTTGTCCAGTTCCAGGATGTGGTTCCCTATAAACCAGACCAGGTTGGAGAAGTACGGGGCTGCCGTCTTGGCTCGGATAAACTGGAGCATGGACTTGTCATCCACTGGGAAAAACATCATCTATTGATCAAACAACTCATAACGAAGTAACACACATGCTAAAAACTTCTAGTGTGAATGAATATCTTATTGCACAGATCAGTGTTCTAGTCAGCATCAGTCTTTCTGCCATTTGACATAATTTTGTTGCTTGTGACGGACAAAAATTTGCCCAATCTGTCATCTTAGATAGACAAAATTCAGCGTGTTAAGGTAATGAAAGAGATGTGATAACAAAACAGTCTACCAACAAAATTTGCCCTTCGGAAATTCAGGAAACAGGATTTCAGAGGGTCAAGATTTCAAAATTTTGCTAGGAAACATGCCTGGACTCCTCTCAACGTGACAGGTTACATCATACAAAATTGAGATGATAGAAAAAAATTCAGGCTGGCTAGAACACTGGCTTGTTCTTACTGTACAAGACTGGTGTACTACAGGCAGTTTTGAAGTTATTCAAAAGAAACAAACACAAAGATGATATCACTGGTATGGTATATTACCTTTGTACACATTCAGTGTGAGGGTCCGTACAGCTATCCGTACCATACTCTCCGAGTGGTTAAAGAACTTAATGGCTTCTGTGTACAGTGGGAAGTCATTGGTGTGCTGCAACAGATTATATACAACAACATCATGTATGGCCACCCTGCAATGTGTACTGTATACTGGGAGTCATAGAACCACAGACATCCATAGACAAACACAAAAACATGCCAAAAAAACAATACTGGGGCAGTCTATAGCCTGACTAAATCGCGCTCCTCGCGGCCGCCGCCCTAGGTTGCCGGTTGGGGTGGGGGTCATTAACCTCCGGCCGAGAGCTTTGTATACACAGGCTAGGGCAGTCTATTGCTGCAGTATTCTTGTTCTCTGCATTGTCTGCTTTTACATAATATATTATAACACCACTTGTCTAAGAAGACCAAATAAAGTTTCCTCAAACAAAGTCGGGCTCTCCTCAAACTTGGAATGCCTGCTTTACAGACTGTGGTCTACATACTAGTACTAGTAATCATGTACCAGAGCAATATAGCAGCCAGCATACTGTATCATACCTCATTATAGAAGAAGTGAATGGTATGTGAGTTGAGCTTGAGAGACAGGGTCTTGATGAAGGAGATGTAGTAGGCCAGGACCTCCTCGTCTGAGAAATCAAACTTGTGCACGATGATGGAGTTCACATGGTTGTTGGACAGCAGGTAATCTGTGCAAAAAAGGACAAAAAAATTTATTCTAAAACTAGTAGTAGAGACTTTTACAGTAGGTAAAAATCGCAATGCAAATGCGTAATGTTTACCTTCACATGGTCTAGCCTAACAAACTATGGTTCTATATGTATGGTGACATGAGTCCAACTCTGTCCTGCTACTTGCTACATTATGTTATCCAACACCACAGGGTATCTCCTACAGCAGCAGTTACCATGGCAACAGCCGCCTGGTCCAGGTCAACCTTGACTTGTTTGACAGTTTTCCATTTTTGTGATTATGATTATGTATTGTAACTGTGAAAGTATGCTGTAATTTCATGAGGTACAATTGTATTTATTACACCCAGTCAACCTCTGCCTGAATTCCTCCATGTACCACCCACTTACTCCCACCTGGCATGCGCTAGGTCATCTCAAGCAAACGCACAAACCCAAACATAAGCCCATCCAAAACAATATCTCAAAATATATATTACTTACATAGCGATGTTTCATTCTGGATGTTTTCAAACAAGATGTTGAGTGTCTGGAGCAGCTGCACACACACGTAACGACCCGTCTTCTGACGGAGGATCCGCAGGAAAAACAGCAGCATGTTCTTCTCCAGGAAGAAACTGTTGAAGGAAAGGAAAACAGTTGAAAAATATGTGAATAGCCAGTATAATCTGCCCTTCGGTGTAAAACACTGGCTTCTGTATCTGTATAACTGGTATAACCGCCCTTCAGCACAACACACCAGTTTCTGTATCTGTATAGGTGGTATAACCGCCCTTCAGTGCAACACACCAGCTTCTGTATCTGTATAGCTGGTATAACTGCCCTTCAGCATAACACACCAGCTTCTGTATCTGTATAGCCGGTATAACCGCCCTTCGGTGTAACACACCAGCTTCTGTATCTGTATAGCCGGTATATAACCACCCTAGTTGCAGTGAATGTATTGTTTTTCTGTTATTTTGATGACACAAGTATGAACAGTGCTGATTGAATTGGCTGGGCTATGTCAGGTGAGCATGATGGCAACATGAATAGTGACACACACTGAAGGTAGTTAATAAAATGACTTACTCGAAGACAGAGCTGTCATTTTGATCTCCCCAGATGAGAATCTCGGAGATGGAGCGCAAAGTTTCCACCAGCAGACTACGGTTCTGTTCCGTCACCACGGCGTTCTTCGCAAGCACGCCGTACAGAAACCTGCAAAATACATGTGAGCAGGAAAATTGAGTTGCCTTGTGTCTAATGTGGCATCATTAATTCATATCAGATTCTATAAAACAGTCAATACTGCCAAAGAAGACCACTCTGGGGACCAATAAAATCCACTCTATCAGACTCTATGTGGGGAGGTGGTCACTGCAAACAGGATTTTTTTATCAACAGAAGAAATTACAAATGTATACTGATAATTTTAAGACACCACCAAAAGTGGTCAAAATAATGGTGGTCCTTATGTATATGTAGAGGTACCCACCTACAAGTTTGAGTCAGTGTATACACACAATATACATGTATAAAATCGGAACACTTTTGGATTCAAAAACAGAAAAGAAAGACATTATTCATATTCATTCAAAGATATTGTTTGGATGGGACTGCTCTATTTCAACAGCTGTCAAATTCTTAAACACAGTGTCAGTTGAACCAATATGTATTCATTAAGGCCAGTTGATGTATGTTACAAAAACAACAAATATTTATACAAGTGAGTTGTCAAACTGTTGCAGTTTACAAAAGAAAAATCAATTTTGGTACAAGTATCTGTTTCATGGTGGAATTCGATCTTTGAGTTTGAAACAAAGTGTATACAATCAATCAATTATCATGTGATAGTCATTAGCTTCTCTTCTCTAACTAGTACACTGTAAAATGATACATTTTGTGTACTAGTAGTACTTAGTAATCTCCAAAATCAGATCCTTAATTAAAGAGGCCAGTGACCATTAGCCACCGGGGCTAAAATGGTTACATGGTGCCTTTGGTCACCATTCCGGCCAATGGATACTGTCTTGCCACCATAGGATCTGCTTGGTGATTTGTAACATGGGACCATGGTCATCAACGTACTTCACAAAATTATAAATTTCATGCATAGCCTATTAAATAAGTATACCAAGTGTATTTTAAGATTCTTGCGTTGAAAAAAGGTTTCTAGAGTATCTAGAGGCATTAAAAGTCAACAAGAACAACAAGTTGTTCTTTGAACACCTATCTACACGTTATTATATAATTTATAATACTTGACATTTCACACTTACTTGAGATGTTCCAGTGAATGTGGGTTCCGAGGCTTCCACAGGGCCTGGTTGATCCAGTTTCTCGGTCTCTGAAACATGTTGGTGTCGTTCTGGAGTAGACGCTTTGTCCTGTCAGAGTTTTACGGTGTCAAACATGTTGAGCTGAAGGATAAAATAGCTATAGTTTAGATACAGGAAGGGAGAACTAGATTCATTGACTCATTACGGAAGCAGACGCCATATTTTCGCGTATACACTTAAGGGTGAACCAGTAGTGGTGGTGGTATGGTGCAAAAATGATGCAGAAATTCATTACAAACGATATTCATCGGTAAAAATCTATATTGTATTTAGAATATCATTAAATTCATGTCTTACCTAATAAAAAGGGAAGGTATATTGTAACCATAGCCTTAATTTGAAAGAATAAGAACCTTTACCCAGATCGCCCTTTGTTTATAAATGGTTGGTCCCCTGCGTTACGGTCTCGGACCGGAGTTTTCCTCCGTATTTCGAGCAATTTGACACCCTCAGCCCGACGGGCTGTCATTTCTGTACTAAACGCGGGTCGGAATTTTTCACTCTTTTGGTGGAAAGGGGTGCCGTGCCGCTTATCAATACACTTGATTGATATTTTCTGCGCCCAATTTATTTAGGGGTAAATGAGGCACATCAAAGTACATTTTGAAAAAAGGGATAATTTTTTTCGTCATTTTTAACCATGGCTGCATGGAAAAAACGAATTTTCCCAGGGTAACGGCTTAGTACTCGAAGAAGCTCAGAACCTAATGTTTCCAAAATTTGAATTTAATTAAAATCGATGCGATAAGTTTATCGCTATCTTCGATGGCCCGAACACACCCAAAACGCATATAGAACGTACCATCCCGGCGGTCAGGCGAAAAGGCCACATAACCATCCGCGCGGACGAATACCAGGAAGTCTTAGCTGGACCACCAACATTACGCCACCTATAAAGGCTACAACTAACAGGCTTTTCAGAAAATACAAAGATATGTACACAGATATTACGATTTCAGGGATATCGCGGCCAAAACATACCATACAAAGTCACGTTTCCGGCGATTTACTGCGCACTTACTTAGACTCTGGTCAGAATTAAACTCCGACCCGGAACCTTACCATCACAAGACATATCCTGGGAACGAGGTGAATTGAAACGTAACCGGATGTATCTGGACACAAGATCGCCCTTCCCACAAGGCCGCGCGTAAACTAAAACAGCCAATCAGGAGGCCGGACATATTTGTTTCAGGCCAACAAACAGCCAATCAGAAGAGCGGACATAATTTGTTTCAAACAGACGCACCGTTTTTAAAATCCTTAGTTCAGCGTCAGAGGTGACTTGTAACAGTGCTCTATCACCTGTAGCCTTGTGTTTTCCTGTATTTTACAGGGCTATACGCGATTTTTAAAGCTTTAGGCACCACTATAGGAAGCTTAGGTATCTTGTGTTAACGTGTGTCATATCTGAAGGTGAATTTTTGAGCGATGGCACGGCATAAGGAGGATATAAAGATTCCCGAAGTACCAGAAGTGTTGGAGGACCCCACCACCCACCGTCGCTATGTCCGCGGCCGGTTCTTGGGCAAGGGCGGATTCGCCCGTTGTTATGAACTTACAGACCTCCAGACCCGGCAGATTGTGGCCGGGAAGATCGTCCCGAAAGTGCTGCTGTCCAAACCGCACCAGAAGGACAAAATGACGATGGAGATTGCGATCCACCGCAGTTTGAATCACCCACACATCGTTGCATTCCACGGCTTTTTCGAGGATAAGGACTTTGTCTACGTTCTGTTAGAGTTGTGCAGAAGACGGGTAAGATTTTCAAATTATTGTGTTAAAAAATTTATCTATGTTTGGTCAGAGGATCGTAATAAAATAAGCTGTACATATTTTGAGAAAACTCGCCACATGAAGCAGTGAACCGTCACGGGTTTTTAAATCAGTTCATGAATAATGTAACGGGCCGGTTGGTTTTTAACCGTTGGACGACTTCACATCTGTGTGCCTAGCTAATACCGGCGGAAACTTCAAAGGACAATATATATTTGTCTGTACTGCAGATATTGACCCTAAAAATCTTTTGTTTCAGCTATAGTTTACTGCATGAATGAATAATTTGCCAGTTAGGGTTTGCAGGTGGACAAGTTCTGTGGGCCTTTTTTTAGGTCACCCAGACTGACAGGAAATTATTTACCTAAATGTTTGAATATAAACAGTTCTAACAATAAGATGAAGAAGGGAAAATAGTGTTTTAATTCATGAAACATTTCATTTCCATTCAAATGAAGTTAACATCACTTGATTTTCCTTTTCTTTAATATGTTCGGAATTTACTAGAAATGCAGTGGCATTTTAATTTGAGGAGGAACTTTAGTTTAAGAGGTAACCGCGGCGCGGATACAATTTGACTGCAAAAATGTCCAGATTTGCCCATATTCACTGTGGGGGTCTAACTGAAATAATCCAGGGGTCTGTAGTAAAATTTCTGTTTGGAGGCATCCCGCTCAGTCTTACAACAAATTATCGGTCATAGTCACTATGTAGACTCCAGCTTTAAACTTTTGTCTACTCCACTCAAAGATTGGGAAATTTCACACTTGTTTTCAAATTCCCATGTAGCAAGTGAAATTTGTCCCAACAAGCAAATTATATATAATATGGTCACCGGACAAAGAGACAGCCCAGCAAGTCCACCCTCTTTCTCATTGCCCCCGCATGCTCGCATTAAAATACAGTAATATACATTTTAATGCTGCTTCTTGTTCTTGAGATGATACTGTGCAACACCCCTCTGTTGGGGTAAGACGCACAAGGGAACAGTTGTTTGGAACAGTTGAACTTGATGAGAAGTTATACTGATATTTTAACACCTTGCCCCCTGTCCTTCCCCCCAGTCCATGATGGAGCTGCACAAGCGGCGTAAGACGGTGACAGAGCCCGAGGCGAGGTACTACATGATGCAGACGCTGAAGGCCTGCCTCTACCTGCACGACAACAAGGTCATCCACCGCGACCTCAAACTGGGAAACCTGTTCCTCAACGACGAGCTGGAGATCAAGGTTGGAGATTTCGGCCTGGCCACCAAGGTCGACTTCGACGGAGAGAGGAAAAGGTATGTGTGATGTGGTAGCCTGGTTTAATCACCTTTTTTAGTATTACCCTCCCACTGGTCAGGCCCTTAGAACTTCGAAGAAGCCAACATTTCTAGGTAGAATCTGGGAGAACTAGCTTCTGTTCACATGGAATTTTGCAGTAGGATAAGAAATGGCTCTCACAGTTCAAACAACAATAGTAATGCAAGCCAAGACAGGACTTCTTTGTAGTGACTGTGATTATTTTACAGTGGAGAGGTTGCTTGACGATAAACCGGACAGTGAGTGTGTGTGTGTGTGTGTAACAAGAAACATGTAATTCTTCAACTGAAGAATCCCTTTTATTTTCAAAGGACACTCTGTGGAACACCAAACTACATCGCTCCTGAGGTTCTGGGGAAGAAGGGACACAGTTATGAGGTGGATGCCTGGTCAATAGGCTGCATCATGTAAGTACAATGACATGTTCATAAATGTTTTCAACGTTTAGTGAAAATTGGTCTGAAGATCCTTTTGCATTCATTGCCAAAGTCCAAGTACATGTAGATGGACTTTGACACGGTGGGGCTTCAAGGGAAAAACACTGACTGAAACGCATTATTTCAAACACAAGCAAAAAGATGTTTTAAAAAAAACAAAGCAGAAACTACACATATACAGAGATAAGCTTTTCAGTCCAAAAATGTGAAGGAGCTAAGTTTTGTGAATAAAAAAAGTATCTTTAACTATCAATCTGGTTAACGGGTAAGGCATGAGAAAAGGGTTAATCATTAATATATGTGAACTGTATTAAAAAGTTGTCCCCAAAATGGTCTCAAGATCACAATGAAAAATGTGTAATTTATTTTGTAATACTGGTAGTCAATTCTTTAAGTCATAACCGTAAAATAAAAATTGTCTCCAAAGTCATGTCATAAACTTGACGGAAATACAGTAAATTTGATGAAAATTGACCGTGAAAAATTCAGCCATTCGAAAAGAAAACGGCAAAGAATCTCTATCTGTTTTCCCCCCAGGTACACCCTGCTGTGTGGCAAACCTCCGTTTGAGACCCACAGTCTGAAGGAGACGTACATGCGCATCAGGAAGAACGAGTACTTCATCCCTCAGCGCGTCAGCCCCACCGCCCGCGCTCTCATCGCCAAACTCCTGCAGTCCGACCCCGGCGAGCGCCCCACGGTGCAGCAGATCATCGATGACGAGTGGTTCCGCTCCGGCTACATGCCGTCACGACTCCCCGTCACGTGTCTCACCATGGCGCCCAGGTTCCCCGCATCTGCCACCAGGAATCCTCTCAGGGAACTCAACAGCAAAGGTTTGTTATTTTCTTTTTGTTCCCTCAATTCTCACTTCAAAACAATGCAAGGTTCTCCACTTCGGCTACCAGGAATCCTCTCAGGGAACTCAACAGCAAAGGTAATTTGATTAACAATTTTCACCTCAAAACAAGGCTCATACAAACCACTTACATGAGTAAAGAGACTCTTTCTACACAACCAAGTCTTTTATTCACAGCCAACATTTTGGTGACTGTCTGTCACCTTCCTCAGGGCAATTCTGACTACCTGTAGTACTTTCCCCAGGAAGTCGTCTGAAACGTCGGCTGAATAAAAGACTTGGTTGTGTAGAATTCGAAAGAGTCTCTTTACTCAGTGACTCACCAACCTGATGAAACTATTCACAAATCACTTGCATGTTTTGGGAACTAGAAAACTGAAAAGTTTAAGATTGTACCCATTTGGGAAGCATTCACAGGGAAGCTTGTTCCATAGTGATGTAGTTCTATGAAAGAAGCTTTTAGCATGTCCATACTTCTACAAAATTGTTAGTATTATTGTTTTCTTCTAGGGAAATCCAGGCACAATTTTTTCTCCCAAAACTTGTGTTCCAAAGAGGGTAAAAATCTATAACGCTACTTATTTTTGGTGATGCCATGGTGCCAGAGCCCTTTTTTCTTGTCTGCAGTTTTCCATTTTATGCTAGACAGCTGGGGATGAAAGAAAAAACAATTTGCTTGGCACAGCGGTGAAGGTTAGACAACAGTTGCTCAAGCAACTCAAAAATCATATCCAGTTGCTCGAGTAACTGTTTTTGGCATAATTTGTTTGGCAACTTCGAAGAATAGAACTGATCGAGATTACTGATTGTGACCTAAATCCTTTGACCTTCCTTTCTCCAGATGGCAGTAACACCAACACCGTAGGTTTGAAGGAGAACCAGCCCCAGTCCAAGTCAGGAGGAACTCAGGAGAACATCAAGCCTGGACTGGCCAGGTTGAACTCTAAAGGTGAAGACGAGGCAGTCCCTGACTACTACCTGTCAGACATGATGGGGCAGCTGTCTTCTGTACTCGCCGCAAGGCCAACAGAGAAAGTCAAAGGAAATGAAGGTAAGATTCTAGTACTTAGGGAATGGTTTAAGCCTGGATGCCAGACTGTTTCCAGGCCCTACACAGGCTAGCTCCTAATGCCTCTATGGCCAACTTGCACGCAAAAGATATTTCATTGCAGCCTCTGCAAAGTGGATACAGGTACTCAGGTCAGCACACATGTTCAAATCATGAGCAAGCATTCCCAGTCTTTTTAACAGATTATCTATCAAAAGAGTATTTTATCTTGATGGTTTTCTAAAAGCTGTGTTAGTGTTAGTACTGATTTTGTTGTTGTTTGTTGACCATGTTGTTTTGTTGTTTTCTATCTGACCAGAGGATGCAGAAGACCCAGCAGCGATCCCAGTGTTGTGGGTGAGCAAGTGGGTCGACTACTCCGACAAGTATGGGCTAGGTAAGGCACAAACAAGTCCTACCAGTTTATGTTTTGCCATTGTTTTGTATCACACTGGTACCAGTTTCATACAGTAAGTACAAGCTGCTTAAGACCAGACTGTAACTTAGTCTAAGGTTTAGGCCATTCACACCAATAAGGAGTCCTAACTGTTTTTGAAGTGTGATGGGCTATAAGTCAACAATTCTTACTACAAGATCCCCTTGCCTAATTAAATGAAAAACCAAATATTTAGTAAAAAGTCCCTGTACATAAAGCTACCTGTGGTAAAGAAATTGTTGACTTAGTTTTTTTTATGCACATTTCTAATAGAATGTTTTTGTGTTGTCCCAGGTTACCAGTTGTGTGATGGCAGTGTTGGAGTGTTGTTTAATGACTCGACCAGACTGTTACTGTACGCTGACAGTGAACAGACTCAGTACATCGAGAGGGACGGTACAGAGTCCTACCACACCATCAAAACATTCCCAGAGTCACTCACAAAGAAGGTGAGAAGAAACAACTTTTCTTTAACATAAACCAGCTCTCTTTTGTATAACACTAACAGTATTACATAACAATGTACACTTATGTTAAAGTGAAGATACATAAATCAATTGTTCACAGAGTAACATTTAGTAATGTTTAGTAAATTTGTAAAAAAATTTGCACTGGTTTTCTTACAATTGTGTGAATTATTGGAAACTGTTCTTAAAGTTTTTTCAGTTAGTCATCAAAGAGTTAAGATCATACTCCTGCTCATGTCTTTTCCTTTTTAACTGCACTTCGTATGGTATACAAGCCAGGATACAGGAGTTTTCTGTAACACAACCAAGATAGTTTACCTTGCTGACGTCACTATCCTGTCAGGTTGTGTAAAAGAAAACTCCTGTATCCTATTCCTATACTTAACCAACCTGATGAAACTGTTTTTGGGTATACAAGCCATTAGAGCGGTCCGTCTATGCTCTACTTGGAATTAAAACGGCCGATTGCGCTCTACAGAAAAGGGCATGCTATTTTCTCCTCACACTCACAGTACAATGAAGAAATGACCACGTCTACATAAGGACCACCTGGCCAATGTGGCCACTGTTTCAGAGTATTTGGTGGTCCTTTAGATTATTTTCCCTGTTGACACTAGCATTAAGAGACCACTCACCACCATCTGTCTCTCCCAGGTGACCCTACTGAAGTACTTCCGTAACTACATGAGTGAACACCTGCTGAAGGCCGGAGCTAACATCGCGCCGCGGGAGGTGCAGGAGATGGCGCGGCTGCCGTTCCTCAGGATGTGGTTCCGCACGCGCAGCGCCATCGTGCTGCACCTCAGCAGCGGCACGCTACAGATCAACTTCTTCCAGGTGTGCAGGAGAATTGTTTTTAGTTTGTTGTTTCAGTATGTTGTTATACAGGGTTCCATTGTTACATCCAAGTATGGGTGGCAAAGCTGTGGGGTTGTATATGTGTGTTTGTCTGGACAGAGTAGATTGACAGCACATGGGTGGGGGGAATTTCACAAGAAGAATAACAGGAAGTCAAAGATAAATATATTGTTTTTCTCTGTTCTCTTCATATTGCTTGAGATCAAATGCCACTACATCAGATCAACAAACAAAATTGTTGGATATGGATTAAACTCTAATTTAAAGTCAGATACAACAAACAGCAAGTAAGAACACTGAGTTACAACTTTGTTTTTCAACCCTGATCAGGATCACACCAAGATCATCCTCTGCCCCCTCATGGGAGCGGTAACCTACATCGACGAGAAGCGAAACTCTCGAACCTTCCGTCTGTCCCTGATCGAAGAACACGGGTGCAGCAAGGAGCTCTTCACTCGCCTGCGCTACGCACGCACCATGGTGGACAGGCTTATCGCTTCCAAGTCCGGATCTGGGCGCGTGAAAACCGCAACATAACTTAGTTAGCTCAGAACTGTAGTCTTCACTTTCCTTGAACTGCCATCTACTAAAAATGCAAGCATAATATAGAATATTGCAATGACTGTTGGAAAATTTATTGCTTGATGGCATCTTTTTAAAAGAAATCTACTTTTCATTTGATGTAACTCTAGCAGACGTAGCGTTTTAGGGTGATTAGCGTCCCGTTTGTCACTTAAGCATCAAGAATCATACTGAAGTCCTTGGTATCTTTTAGCTTGGGGCCCTTTCTTAGTGAGAAACATGATAGAAATGGTAACACTTTCAGCTAAAGCGATAAATGTTTGTATGAAAGATGTCTCCTTGAGTGTGTGTTTTGTAAAGGAATCTTTCAAACTTCAAAGAGTTTGTTTCTCGTAACATTGCAGTCTTTGTTGTATGTTGTATCTGCTAAAAGAAGAAAAGTCCTTAGCCATGAACGTGTAAAATATAAGCACATAGATAGCAGATACATTGGTTCAGTAAAAGTATCCAAATGAGCAAGTTTAAATGGTGCAACATTGCATGAAGGTTCAGAATACTAAACCTACTTTAATTTGGAATGTCAGATTCTTCTGTTTGTCAAGCTGCAGTAGTCTTTGATTAGTGTGTCTTTTGTTTTGAAATATGGAAAGATGAACTGTTTAGCTGACAATTTGAGTGATAGTCTAGAAGAATACATTTGATCTTTGAGTGTGTGGAAATACATCTAACTTGGTGCAATGACTAAGCTGTAGAAGAAAGCACAACCCCGTTGTGTTACATTTAAAAATGACAGTTCAGGCAAACTGTTATCTTTGTCCTATGACTTGTAATATATGCCATACTTTTCTGGAGTATCAATGCATCACATTCTTCATTGTGTATTTTTAAACCAATAGTCTGTTTTAGAGTGTGTGTAGGAGTGTAACAGTTGAGCATACTGTAAAAAGCTTACCTTGCTTTTATTTCAGGACATGTTTTTTGCTGCAGATTTTCATACAACATTAAGGACACAGAGTTTGTAATTGTAAGATGTTAGATTTTTTTCCTCTGTCTTGTACAAGAAACTGTCATTCTCACCTTGCCGCCAGATTGATTTGAATTTTTCTTCCTTCATCTCAACATGATGCTTCAGTAGAAATCTTTGTGTATACTTTTCCGCTAGATTTGCTTTTTTGATGGTTTCTTGTTTTTATTTACTGGTTATCCCCAATGAGAGTCTGTATTCTCGTAAATTTATGAATTTTTTTTTGTTGTGAGGACACCTGTTTTGTAAGTTTGATGAAATGTACAAAGGTAACCAAACATTTTTGCTGATGTATGAATGATATATGCTAGTAATAGATGAACAATAAATCATATTATGGACGTATTGTTACATCATTCCCACCTATATCAACTGGACTGGGGGTAGGGACGGTTGCCACATGGTGACACAGGTATTACAAGTATTTTGCATTCTTAGACTAGTGGTTAGCAACCCTGCCTCATGACCAAGAGGTTGGGAGTTTGAATCTCACCCAACATGCATGCAACTGTAAAGAGACTCTTATGCAGCTTGTACTTACTGAACAAAACTTCAGTTAGTAGAAATTCCTTCACGTCATCTTTATTGCAGCGAAATAAAGAATCGTCAGCAAGCAGCAAAAATATATTCTATCCTAAGATATACCTAAAGTGTACCTATCTATAGACTGTATTATAATTCATAGAATTGTACCACTGCCACAAATTTCTCATTGTGTTGTCAATATTAATAAGTCAGGAAAGACTTGACTTTGTATATAATACAGGGGTTGATCTAGATTCAATGACAATGTTTCATCTAATGCAGGTGATACAGCTCCATGGAAACATCCCCTAAAAAGGAAAATGCCACTCTAAACCCCTGGTAAAAACAAATGCTGCTAACCCACTCCTAGAAGTCTCCACAGGAGAATAGTGTATTCTTCTCTATAGTACATGTAGTAGAAGAGGTAGACTAAAAGCAATCAATTGCAATTCGCCCCAATCCTACGAATCCACAAGTTCTGCTTGTACACTTTTGTATTGAATTTCTCTTTTGATATATCAGTAGATATTGTGTTTTGTTATCTCAGTTCCTCTTGACTTGTCTGGGCAGAGTCCTGCAGACAAAGTTGAGTTTGACCTGGCAAGTTTCCCCTGTGTACTGATGTGGCTTGTTTCCCCCTGGGAACTTCAACGCTCCACAGTCTCCGTTCTGTATCGCTGCAGGTGTCACGGACGTCCCATCCAACCAGGCATAGTCTCCTCCTCCCTGTTGTCAACATAAATGAGTAAATTTTTTATAATGTATTCGTGTACTAATGTGTTGTAATATTGTACCAGGCCTGCAAAATAGTGCAAGCCTTTTCTCGTAGATGTTTAATGGAAAGTTTCAAGGGACAGCGCATGTTGCCATTTTCAACAAGTGATAAAAACAATGAATTTGAGGTTAAACATTTGTGGCTAAAGACATTGGCTTTGAGACTAAACACTATGAATTTGAGGCTAAACACTATGAATTTGAGGCTAAACATTGGCTTTGATAATAAACACATTGAATTTGAGGCTAAACACATTGAATTTGAGGCTTAACACATTGAATTTGACGCTCAACACTTGGATCACTTACAGTTTGCTGCTGGAAGCCTATCCACCAGTAGAACCCCTTCCCTTTCTTCCACCTGGGGTCCAGACTGCGGATGGTTTTGCTGACAAAGTTGAGGACCTCCGGCTTGTCCACCACCAGTAGGTCCGCTCCAGGGCTGAAAGTTCGGCAGGCGTCTCGCGCCACGGCCCAGGGCAACTCTCCGTACACATAGAACAGGAAACACAGACCCTGGTGCTCCATCCAGCCTATATCACACACGCCTGTAACAAAATAGTTGTTACAAAAGTAATCAAACATTTCTTCTTCATATCTGAACTTACTGAAGACTCGAGGTCAACTAGAACAGGAAACACAGGCCCTGATGTTCCATCCTGCCTACTAGTATATCACACACACCTGTAACAACAGAAGGTCATTAAGTCAGCTTGAATTTCTCAAACCTTCTTTTTCATATCTCAATATCATCTTGAACAGGAAACACAGACCCTGGTGCTCCATCCACCCTATATCACACACACCTGGAACAGTCAAAAATGTCAGGTTTAATTTGTCATCATTTCTTCTTCATATCTCAACTCGAGGTCATCTTGTAACATTAGATATGATGAGGCCAGTTCAAGGTTACATGAACAGGACTAAAACAGCAATGCAATGTCCTTCTGTCTATTCCCGGACCCTTCCATTAGAAGAGCTGTGACTGCAACAGTATGAAAAATCACTCAACGAATTTTAAAGACATGTAACAAGCTTTTGAACGTTTTGAGTGTTGTACTGTCATTTTATGATCATACATCCGTATTATGTATCATATACCAACAAGTTACAATAAAATCAAGGGTCATACAAATCCAATTCTGGTTGCTTAGTAATCATCGTCTAATGGAAAATGTTTTACTTACTGCAGTGAGGTGCCCACTCGTCACTCCCATCATCACAGTCCATCAGCCCGTCACAGGTGCGGAACCACGGGACAGACGAGTCGTGCTGCCTCCTGGCACAGCTGAACGGTCCTGCGGGATAAACAGGACACAGTGGGTATTTTCTGTCAGTGGAGTTCAATTCAAGTCACTGGCAGGCCCACTTCCCAGTTTCCTGTCACTGGTAAGGAAGAAAAAGGTGTAGTGATTTGGACAATCAGAGCAAAGGGCACCCTAGCTCACACCACATTGCAAGGGAAGGTGGAGGGTGTACGACCTAGGGGGCGTCCACGAAGGACATGGACCAGTGACTTGAAAGAATGGACAGGACAACCCTTAGGCCAGCTGGCAAGACTGGCAGAGGATTGCCGGGGGTGGAGAACTCTTGTTGAAAGCCACATTGCCCCTATTGCTGACATCGGACAGCTATGCCTATGGGACTGGTGAGGTGAGGTGGTGAGGAGTTCAATGACATATATTCTGGCCTATTAGACATCACCAATAACCTTGCTCAAAATTGAATGAGACTTACTGCACATATCTGGGCTCTCATCACTTCCATCCGGACACTGTCTGACACCGTCACATTTCCAGTACCGAGGAACCAGCCGACTGCCATCTGCACACTGGAACGGGGCTGGCAGGTTTGGGCAGAGGGGAAAACATTAAATAATTACATAGGATAAGCAGTTGAAATTCTGAAAAAGAGAAAAGTATTTGGTAGTCATTCAGTGTAGTATAGTCAGCTGCTGCCGCGCCACATACCTGCAAAGCTGGTGTATTGCACTGAAGTCTATACAGATACAGATACAGAATACTTCAAGTTGACTTTATTCAAGAAACAGTCATGGCCGGAATCTTCCACATGGATTTGCACTCTTGTATCAGATAAAATTCCCCTACTTCTTTTTGAAGTTACCCGTGAGTGACAACAGCCTGGATTCGAACTCACGACTTCATGGCCCAGAGGTAGGGTCACTATCACCACTACTAGACAGACCATAAACACTCTTGAGTGTTACCCACCACATCTGTCAGGATCCTCATCTTTCCCATCACTGCAGTGAACTCTGTTGTCACAGTCCTGGGCATTACGGATAGGCTTCAACACCGACCAACAGGCTAGCGGGGGGCCTGTACAATTAGATATTACAATAATATATAATGAATCTCAACAAAAAAATATCTTTAAATGTCAGGTATTATGTGTCTGAAACTGGGAATCACATTTCTATTTTACATTTCTAAGAGTCACTATAATGTAGTGCAGTTAACATTAGTTCTGCCAAAATATCATTTACAAAAGTAAGTAAATAAGTAACCTTCTGATGATCTTTTGAGGTGGAGGACTTTGGAAAACCTTTCCATGTAGATCTGGGTCCATGAATGAAAAAAGTTCTACCATGGGAAAAGTCATTAGCCATAAGAGTACCACCCAACGCTGGACTTACACAACATTTCCTGCTCATCGCTGGCATCAGGACAGTCGGGTGTCCCGTCACACACCTGGTACACAGGGATTACAGCAGCTGTCCTGTCAGCATCAGCACACGGGTACTGTCCTGGGCCTCCGTGCAGCACATACCCTTCTACAGTGGGCACAATTGTTTTATAGGATGAAAAGTTAAAATGCATCAGAGTTTGATAATTTTCTTTAAAGCAGAAACTGCAGTGGTTTCATTCCATGGGAGGGGAAAATGAGGTTTTCACTGTGTTTTCAGTCTAAATTTGTGATGCAAGGCCATCACAAAAACTGGACTTGGTGCTGGGTAAGTTGTAGCCTCTACAAGGCTTCGGAAGGTGCTTGTTATATCTCTCTATTTGGCCGATTTCTACTCTTTCCAGCCGCCTCCCGGAGCCTGGTAGAGGCTAAGTAAGTTGTGGCATCCTAACATTGTTACTTGAGGTGCACATGCAAAATCACCATATATGAGTTCAATGCTTTCTACCTAGTACCTCCCACCTACTTTCTGTGGACACTGGTTGTGTGGACGGTGTCAGAGTTGACAGTTCCATGGCTGCTACAGTAGGGCTGACGTCCTGTGGGGTTGTAGCCATGGTTGTGGTAGTGGTGGGTGGGGGGGTCGGTGTTGATGACTGTGTCTGTGTCACGCTGGTCGTGACTGTTGGAGTTGTCTCCTCTGCGTCTCTGATTGGCTGAGCTTTGCTGTCTGTAGTGACGTGATTGGTCGGAGATGTTGACGGTTCAACAGTCGAACCTGTAGGTATCAATGACAAGATCCAATCTTTACTGTTGAATGGTAGACAAACTGTCATGTAGCTGTATTGATCATTTTGCATTTGAGTTATTGTTTCATGACCTAGTGCCACTTTATAGGCAATGTCCTAGCATCATCTTCCTCCAAGTACAATCTTTTATAATCTATAAATAGCTAGAATAAAAGCTCACACTGGAGTCACAGACATCTTAATATGATAACAACCCAAAAATGATTTTCTGTAAAGTTAATATGCAAAGAATGACATAATGGACACTGAAGGGCCTCCAGAGAAAGAATCTTCTGCCTTTTAGTGAGTGGATAGGCACTAGATTGGCAGGTAAAGTAGAAACACATTTGGGCTTCCTTGTCAGGCCTCATCTGCCATGCCTCATTAACTTGTTAACTCCTTAGATAAATAGCAGGTGTTAGTTCTAGCTACTGGTGTCACTCTTAATCTCTCAACTGTGGCAAGACCAAATGATTTATGACCATTCAAAGGCCTTGCAGTGAGGCAAGCAAGCCTGGTCTCATTCTAGCCTCCGTAGCAGGCTTATAGAATTGGGAGTTTGGTGGTCTTCGGCTGTTTTCTGATTAGCCCAGTTCTAAAAACAGGGGTAATTCAACCAGGCCGGCTATGTTGTCTATATGCAATCACAGAAAATAGCACATAAAAAGCTCCCAAAGACCCTGAAGACCCCCAAAACCCCCAGTTTTTGGCATGCTATGGAGGCTAGTCTCATTCCCTGATTACAGCTAACTCCAATCAGCTAGTGATGGGGATTTTTCCTTCATCTTGAAGACTTCTGACAGCCACTAGAATGCCTGACCTGTTCTTGTCTCCTCAGTAACAGTGATGGTGTGTTGCTCGGTTGTTGCTGGCTTCTGCTCTTTTGGAGGTAAGTCTTCACGTATCACATCACCCTCTTCTTCAACCTGGTCTGAAGACCCAGTGGACACTGAAGTAGTAAAGGGAGAAGAGAATCATTAGTTTAATAGAGGGGGTGTTATAAATGATGTTTTCATTCAGTTTTATATATACCTCTCATGAGATTTTACCTCATTAGCTTTGTGCCTTAGATCTTAAAGATCAGACTTCAGACTGAAGAGAGACATCATTTGTAACTTTTAAAAGCCCTCCGATGTAACCGTCAATGCCAGTTGTCATAATTCCACCAGGTACCTTAAGGCCAACGCATTGATATTGAAAATAGTGTTATCGAGGCCTTTCCAAGAATATCTTGAACACCTGGATATCTGAAGTGTGCAAACGTCAGGGATTACTGATGCTGCATTTGTAGAACTCTTTGATTTTTTTTTTTTTTTTTGAGGTGTGTGTGTGCCTGGCAGAGTTATGAGAATGACTCTAGTCCTACCAGAGAGGTTGAGTGCCAGAGCCAGTGTGATGGCCAGCACGAAGGCGACCACACCGACCACCACAGCCCGCCACGACCACTTCTCCCTGCTGTCTGATACATCCGAATCCTGTAGGAAGTAGGAAGGAATCAATGTTCATAAAAAAAAAAAAACAAGCCTTAGCAACAATTCTGAACCAAGGGATACTTAGTTTTTCTTCTTTTTTGATTTTGTTATACCCTAATAAAGGCAGGATACTCCAAGCTCACTATAAAGTACTACTGGTAGTAACGTTACATGTTTTCGTACTCAAGGACACTCAAGGTGTTGACACTCAAGATAAGTAAATTTCTATTACCCGATCGAAGCCTGAAAACAAAATACAAAACGCACACACTGTGCTACTGATATGCTATAGTGACTTTTCTACCTGAAATGTAGTGATGTGTGTGTCTCAATAGCTGACCCGCCGAGGCCAGCAGGACTGGGGTCTCTGGCAGGGTTGGGATTGACTAATTATCACGCCTGTCAATCAGACATTTTGTCCCCTGCCGGGGCGACATTTGAGGCGTAACGATAACTTGGAAATCGTTTTCAGCCCCGATAAATGTCATTATATCGGTACACACGAAATGCTGTGTCCCGGTAACGATATCTCTGCGTACACGGTACTGGAGGTGTTGCTTGCCCGCCCAGATAGATTAAGCGAACGCCGGGCCGGATTTTTTAAGGTGTTGGTTTCGACTACTACTAGTATGTGACGGCAGTAATCAGAAAGATTATCTGAAAAAGGGAGTCTAGTCGTCTGTGAAAAGATAGAATGTCAGATAAAGGTCGTGATCTCCCGAATGAGTCGACAGCTCATACAAAGGCCTATGTCTGGTAGCCTGGGGCCGGTAGATACATGTATACACACCTCCTACATACAAGCTGCTGAGGTCCGTGTAGAATGGTTATCAGGCGCTAGGCTGACAGTGGTCAGAAAATTTGACAAATTTATGGCACACTGTCACACGGCCACATTCGTCATAGGTCGTCCTTTAATAATCTCCAAGCAGATCCTAGGGTCTCAAAGATAGTATCAAATTGGCCAGGCAGTATCCAATTGGCCAGGGCCAGGGACCTACTCTCCAAGCAGATGTTGTGGGGGAATGATCGTTAGCTTTTTATAAATAGCCCTTTTTTGTCGCTACCCCCACCAACCTTGGGTCACGCACGGGACCCTCTCTGGCTAATTGGATACTGCCTATTCTTGAGAGCCTAGGATGAAGATCTCCTTGAATATTACCCCGCCAACAAGACTGGGGGAGCGGATCTTGGAGAGCGGACTAAAGCTAATAAGGCTGGACTCCAGGCTTCGTACGACGACTATGACCGTGCCTTTAACTGTACGTACCTGTCCACGCCCCCCAGACTGTGCCGACTGGCGGCTGACACCCGACAGTGTCCGGTACAGACTGCCGGTGGTGACGTAACGGTACACCTGCTCCACCTCCAGGTAACTCTCCTCCTCCTTAGTGGTCACGCAGCCGGGCAGGTCGGCCGGTCTGTCCACGTGTGCCGGGCCCGGGAGTTTCTTCTCCATCACTACTTGTCTTGAAAGCTGAATATTCATCTTTTAAAAGAAGTAAGAAGTCACACAGTTCACAGAGTTAAATGTAATTTTAAATCCTCCCCAAAGATATCGGTGTATAGGCCTACACTGATGTACAGACTCAGTGATATAATACGGTTGAAATGTCCGCACTGTGCCTTTCGTTTGTTCTTTTTTTTCATCCCGACATCCGATATATGCAATGACAAATATGGTTCACTGTTGATCAAAGGGGTCCTCGAGGAATATCTACAACAAAGAATAAATGTATCGCCTCTCATCGTCTCTAGAGCACCAGTACTGGGACCGGTGCCCTTAGTATGTCCAGAACGGTGCCAAGAACCGTGTCTATTTAAGTTCTATGCCAGGGATGAGCGTGGATTTGCCAAGGTTCTGGATACGAGTGTGCTATCATATCTCCAACCGTGTCTGAGCACGATTCTGGATAAAGCACGGTTCTCATCAGTCTGGATACAGCAGCCCTTATGCCCACAGAGGCCACGACATTCATGCTGGACAACAAAGCAAAACATATGCAACCCGGTAAATTTATATCGGAGAGGTCAGAGAATGGTTCAAACAAACATTCGTCGTTGTGGCGCGATTCTGATGATTTTCAGGCGCGGGCTGTGACACAACCAACGGTCAACAATAATCTAAAGACAGCCTTTCCGTAACAAAACAGTGCAAGACACACATGTACAAAAAGTGCTGAATAAACTATTATTATTATCAATACACGACTATCCCAAGAGATATCACGACGTATGTAATCTAGTCCTAACGTGTCTATTAGGTAGATTATACGTTGAAAATCAGCCACTAGCTTCTGCATGCAGTAATATTATCATAATAAGCGTGTCACAGGTTAATCCCTAACATTAATCCTCCCTTACAACTGCAAATCCTTCTTCTATACCATTTACACAAACACCATCAAAAGACACGTTTAGATTAGAGAAAACAATTCCAGAGAACGTTTCTGAGTCATGACGTGTACTACAGTCTCGTTACCGTTTGCGTTACACTATATAAGTTGTTTCACAAGAATCGATGGTGAAATTTAAAAGTACAAACCTGTGACTCCAAGGCAGTGTTTGCTCAAATGTCACGCATAGAATAGGGGAAGTCAGCCGAGAATGTCATCTGGATGGACCAAGGAGGTTTCCTTTCGATGAACTAATATTTCCGTCAGCAGATCTCGCGACCAAAGGCCAACTTCAACAGGTTAGAACAGTACCGCATCTTTAGATACCGGATTTGTGTGTCAGATTTTAGACTCCTCTCGAAATTCTACATCTGAAACGAGCGGTCAGTTGAGTGCAGTCTGTCCCATGACGGGAGCGGCAAAAAGGGAAGTCACCACCACATGCAGCAGATTTCAGTCGGCGCAGTCATGGTGATTCAACCGCATCACATTCACCGCCCGCACAAAGAAGCTTTTTGTCTTCAGCGAAGCTGATGTGATTCTATTCTTCCCCCACCGCACACTGGACAGATTCCACAGTCCCCTCTCTCTTTTTTTAAGCGGGAAGCACAAGAGTATTAACTAAGCGTTTTGACTGACAGTGCCCAAGCCGCTAGTGGGAAACGATTCCATTTTACTCACGTACACTCTCTGCTATTTTTGTGTCAAGTTTGCTCAAACATAATGGAGTTTGGGATCGAATCTCTTTAGTATGTATTTACTCGGTACAGTCTCTGGTTAGGGTTCTTGGAACCGACTCGCGGGTAAATTAACGTTAGATGAAAGTTTTGGTGGTGTCACCACACAGGTGGCGGTGACTACAGAAGACTTTTGGACCGGGAAGCCTCAGCACAGTAGCGCCCAGCGGGACTCGAATCCTCCCGCCAAGCAGACCAAACGGGCGCGATTGTTGGGAAAAGGTCAGGCTGTATTGTTACCGGCAGTGTTGATCACGCCTTGTGTCCCTCCGTGACAGGAACGCTGTCTTTTGAAAGTTTCTATAATCTCCAAGCAGATCCTATGGTGGCAGAAGATGGTATTAAATTGGCCAGGCAGTACCCAATGGTGGCGTATTGGAGTCTGAACCCTCTCTGGCCAATGGATACTGACTGGCAAATTTGATACTGTCGTTTGCCATCCTAGGATCTGCTTGGAGATTATCCTGTCTAAACGTCTCAGTAAAGGTACAGCGCGGAACTCCATCAAATCAATATGATACTGCATTTGCAGCCACCAAAACATCTGCTTGGAAATTCGCCCATTTCTACTCTTTCTAGCCGCTTCCCGAAGCCTGGTAGAGTCTGGCTCTCGCCCTCTCGGTAGGGGTACGTTTCCTGTGGTATCTGGCCCGGATATCTAAATTCATGATTTGTTGGACTTCACAAAAGGCCTTCAACACTCTTAAGCCATAAACTTTAAATGTTAACTTTTAGTGGTATAATGTTGTGTTCCACATGGCTCCATCCTTGAGTCACTTTTCTTTGTTCGCTTTGTGAAGCCAATCATTCTACTGCTCTCTTTGCAGACAACTCAAAATGTTCAAGTAAAGTCAATTTGAGCGACTAATGTCGCAGGTATGACGCTTTGGTTGGAAGCTATTTGTGTCTGGAGAACATCTATTCAAACGTTTATCTTAATCTTTTGAAATGACTGTGCTTTCTGACTTGCTGACAAAACTTGAACAATGACTTGTACAAATGCATCTTTTTTTCTTCATCCCTGCCATTCTAATTCTCGCTAATCCAAGTCTTAATGGTAAGATCATTAAACACACAATAAAGGACACGGAGAATACAAATACGTGCAACCTATGTGCATCTGATTTATTGTATAATAATTATAGCCACTACAAAGTATTACAGCTTTAGGCAAGCACACACATATATTTCTTTCTTCAAGTAAAACAGCACCCGTCTTTGGGAGCGAATCCTCTCCATGATATGATTTAAAAGCTCTTGTGTTCTTTCTCTTCGGTCCCCTAGCAGGGAAGAAAGGGATTGTTGAAGAGAGCTGGTAACACGAAACACCACACAGGGAACACACATAAACCTACTGGAAGGAATTTTCCCAGCTGACTTGACATGATTGGCTTGCATTCCTCAATAGGCTATCATATAATTGTTCTTCCTGGCAAAATCAAATGGCAATGCATTCAATCTGGGATGGAGAAGTCCCATCTCCCCCAGGTTTGCACATCATCTGGGCGGGGAGCCGACTCTCGTCAGCCCCTGCCCAAGCTGTAGCCGTGAGCTACAGAGAGTCACATGTTCTCCCCTCCCAGGAGGTCCCCCGGGAGGAGGGTGGAGAGCGCGTTGGGGCTGACCACGCCGCGGGCGTCCGTGTCGTTTCCTGTACCCCAGCCGCCTCCCCCGCTGGACCCGGCCTGTATGGACCACATGCTGTTCCCCGGGATCATGCTGCTAAGGCCTCCGACGCTGCTGCTGCCGTTCCAGTGAGAGTCGCTAGGGGGCGGCCCGCTGAAGGGCGGCGGGTCGTTGCGCCTGCCATAGGCGGCCTGGGCGTCGCCGCGCCCCCCGTAGCCCCGGTTCTCTCCGCCACGGGTCCCGTACGACTGGTTCTCCCCGCGGCCGGGGTAGGTCTGCGCGTCCCCGCGGCCGCCAATGTAATGCTGGGCGTCGCCGCGTCCTCCGAACGACGGGTTAACGTTGTATCGATCCGGGTTGTAGCGATCGTTGGCGGACGAGGTGGCCGCGGCCTGGCTGTTGTTCTGCTCGAAGAGGCGTCTCGCCTCATCCTCGCTGATGAAGTCGGCAAGAATGGTGGTGTTCCCCAGCACGCAGGTGTGAAGGCTCTTCTGCGCCTTGGCCGCCTCCTCCTTGCTCATGTAGCACACCAGGGCGCAGCCTTGCGAGAGGTTGAGGTGGAATGTCAGCAGCGGGCCGTGCTGCATGCACAGGGTGCGCAGGGTGGAGCCGTCAATCTGCCAGAGGGAGGGGGACATCCCGTTAGCCTGGTGGTAGGGTGGGTGGTGTGTGTGTAAATGACACGGGGAGGGGGGGGCCAGCGAAACACAGAAACAGGGGAGGAACAAAGAAGTCAACAACTCACAGGCGTGAAAGGAACAGGCGTGTGGTGGCACACAAATGAGGACAGTGTGTGGAACAAATAAATGCTTTTCTACCATCTACAAAATGTACCATCAATCATGCCCTATCTTACAAAAAAATACCAGCCGATTACACTGCCATACTTTGTCATATCTATAATCTATCAAAGTAAAAAACACTAGCCATGTGATAAAAAATCTCCTGTCATTTTCATTTTCAATGAGGTGCTATGATGTGGGCATATTCTATGATCAAATTAAAAAGCAGACTGTAACATTTAATGATGAGAAAAACATTGGCATGTAGATTGATGAAATTCGATGGTTCAAATGTTTAAACAGAGAGAGATAGGTGGACAGACATAATAAAAGAAATACAGAATAAGATCATAAATGTATGTAAAAGGAAAACAACACCAAATGCACCATATATATGAGTGTGTTTGAGTAAGAATAAACAAAGCAGTACCAGTAGTTTGTTAAGCTGGGCCATGTGAAGGTAAACATGGTGCATTTGATTTACAAATGTTACCTTTCTAGTTTTCAATGTTACATGTATCTGCACCAGTGCAGATATGTAGAAGAAGGTACAAAATGTATTTCAAGCTCAGAACCAGTGTGGCATAATGCTAGCTACTGACCTGAGGCACAACACATCCTACTGATGTGCTCTACTATAGCTACTGACCTGAGGAGTGAGGTTCTTGAGGATGAGCCAGTTGGAGGGCGCCTGGCGGCCGGGAGGGGCGGTGTCACCCCCACTCCACATACTGGGGACTGAAACACAACCAAGCACAACTTAGCAACATTTCATTACCAATGGTTCAGTACTGTTGATGCAGAAACTCAGCAACATGGTGCTGTAGTACATGTAGCAGTCTTGTACTGTAAATACAGAAACTTTCACAGTGGTCTTATTTTTGCAGTTTTGCGATGGGCCCTTACTGTGACATCAAAACACAGCGAATAGGTGTTTTTTTCGTATGACAAATGCAAACTTCAAACACCGTGAAAACTTTGTTTTCCGTCCTACTGCAAAATAAATTTTAACCACCGAATAAGTTTCTGCATTCACACAACTACACAAAATACATGTATGTATTCTGTTTCATAGAATTGGCTTTCTTGGAACTTATGCTTTACAGGTACAAGAATGGATATTGATATTATAGTCTCTCCATGAATGTTTCTAAGAGTTTTAAGTCCCTGGAATGTGTATACATTTTTCTCTCCCTTACAATGTTGGCATGTTATCTTACGTAAAGTCCCAGACTAGGAGTCCTCCACAACACAAAGAACAGGCTGCTCTCCCAACCGACACTGACGTACGACAGACATCACATTGATGACAGTGGAACTGTAACATAATGCCTTACATGACCCTATAGGGTATAGCAGCTCACCAGAGCCCCATCCTGATCCACCGCTGCCTCCGGAGGATCCACCCACGTTGTAGTCCCCGGAGCTCCCCCTCCCGCCGCCGCCGCTGGACCACATGGACGACTTTGTTACGTTGAGCCCCGGCGGGGGACGGGCCGGCACAACCCCCTTCTTGGACGGCAGGGGGGCGCGCCAGATCTCATTAGTGATGGTGCTGGGTGGGTAGGCGCTTGGGCTGAGGGGGGAGGAGCTGCTCCAGGTGGACTTGACGTTGCCTTTGTTGGAGCCGCTTGCAGAAGTATTGCTATATAAAGAGCTGCCACTGAAGGACCAAGTAGTGGAGGAGAGAAGAGCAGAGGTGGAGCTGGCGGGGTCGTCCTTGCTGGACTTGTACTGTTCGCCCGTCAGCTACAGGATGTCCGAGTCCTTCACCATGTTGAGGGAGATGGAGCGCGCCACGCTGCCGGGGGTCACGTCCGGGTCGTTGGCGTAGTCCTTGAGGCCCTTCCAGGGTTCTCCCGGCTTGAACTCGGGCGGCAACATGCTGCTCAGGTCTGCATCGATGGCGGAGGACCACTGCTGGCTGGAGCTGCGT